ACAGTCCCATTATCCGGCTGGTGGCAGTGGATTCTGGAGCCGGTATCACGGCGGATCTGAGAGACGACGGCGCCGTTCAAGCCGATGATTCCGCCGACGACCGAGGAGTGGCAGACCACGCGGAGGGCCACTTGGCCAGGAAGGACGTGAATTACCGGAATCTTCCGCGATTGTCGCTTCGCGGCTGAAGGACGGCGGTTCTGCATGGCGGAGGCAGCGTCTTGATTATCAGGATGAGATTCTACTGGAAGGCCTCCCTGTGGAATGGGTGTTTTTAACAGGGAGCAGGCGGAGAAGCGGGAATAGCAAACGCCGTGTACAGAAATCAGGTGGGGGTGTTTGGTTGCAGGGACAAGATAATTCTCGCTCAAAATTCGTGCGAAATTGGGCAATATTCTGTGAAGCTGGGGATGCATTCTGACATAATGGGCCAATCCATAGGCCCATTAATGACATTATGTTGTACGGATAGGCTCAAAAATAACAATATAGCTTTTCGAGATCTACTAAAAGCTTATCTGTAATACAAAGGAAAATTAATCTTTCATTACTAATTTTGTATTATATTATTTGCAGTAGGAGAAATTTTGGTTACATGTATTCAACGCTCATTTTCACAGTCTTCTTCTTCTTCTTCTTCTTCATCATCATCATCATCTTCTGCATAGTCGAAGTTGACGCGGACAAACCACAACACACGAGACAGAGACAGGATTCGGCTCTAAACTTAGGCACTCTCTTTGATTGGCTCTCTAATTTTGCGTGTTTCATTTGAAGTGTTCCGATTCCGAGGGCCGTCCGATGCGCAGCTGAGGCCGAAACCCAACGACCCAGATCTAATACCAGTTGGATTTCTTCGGTCCCATCTCTCGAAACTGCAAGTAGCCCTTAAAAGCCTTGATTCTCTTCGTATTTGCTCAGGAATCTCCCCCTCTTTTTCTCTGGATTTTCTTCTGGGTTTGGGATCGAAATGGTGCTCAAAGGAACGATCATGGATCTCTTGAAGAAGGAGATCCCTTTGGACGAGGAATCTTTGTTTCTGGGTAGGGACTCTAACGTCGGTCTCGTCATCGTCGACGTTATTAATGGCTTTTGTACCGTCGGCGCCGGCAATCTGGTTTGATCTCTTTCCACTTCCTTTCCGCGAAATTAGCCTCATTTATGTTTATTAGAGTCCATATTTTTGGTATTTGGTTAAGCTGGTTATCACTGGTTCTCTATTGATTAAATGGGTCCGGTTATAGCTACCTGAATCAAATACACGTGTTTATTCCTTTATTCTTTCTGTTTTGTAAATTTGTTTTTCTGTTATAGAATTTGTTAGATTTTGATTCCTTTTTGCTGTATAAAAGCGGATGTACAGTGGAGAAAGTAAATACAGAAAATCAGAAAGTTTTTCCAAAATGAGCTTTTCCTTTTCGATTCAATATGGTATCAGAGAGGAAATGTTCTACTGCTCACTCTGAGTTCTTCGTTTTCTTTCCTCTTTTTTGATTTTCTTCCCTTCTTTTTCTAAATGTCGACTCCGGCACCGACGGACAGTGAGTCCGGTTCCGCTTCTCAGGGTTCGGCTTCTTCGAATCCTGCTCCTTTGGTTTCCCGGGATCCTTATTCCGATCCGTTATTTCTTCACGCTGCGGATTCTTCCAGCGTTTTCCTTGTCTCAGAGAAACTTCATGGTGAGGCCAACTACGGTGTTTGGTCGCGCGCTGTTCGCAAGGCGCTCCTAGCCAAGAATAAACTAGGGTTTATTCTCGGCACCATCCCGCAACCTGTTGATGATGAAGAGGACTCAGGATCGTGGCTCCGCTGTAACGCCATGGTCTGCACTTGGTTAAGTAACTCTGTTGACCCTGATATTCTCACTTTGATTTCATATATGGAAGATGCGCATGAGATCTGGATGCATTTGCAGAACTGCTTTCTTCAGACTAATGTTTCTAAGCTCTATAGCATTCAACATCAAATTGATAGCCTCTATCAGGGTTCCCTCAATCTGAATTCCTATTTCACGAAACTGAATGCCTTATGGAAGGAGTTGAAGCATTTTGAACCATTACCAGTCTGTTCATGTAAGGGCTGTACTTGTGGGGGGTGTAAATGCCGAATTTCTGATCAGTGGTCAGCTCTGTTTGAAAGAAGGAGCGTTGTACGGTTTTTGATGAGGTTGAACGACTCTTTTTCAGCTGCTCGTCGTCAGATTTTAATGTCTGATCCTTTACCTGACCTTACCCGAGCCTATAACCTCGTGGCTCAGGAAGAACAACAGAAGCTCAATGTTTCGTGTCTTCCTGATGCTGTTGCTTTCAGCACCACCACAAATTCCTCCCGCTCTCCATACTCATTTCCTTCCTCAAACCCACCTCCTAAATCACCTAGCCCATATCCATCGACCTCCTCAAACAGACCTCGTCCTATTTGCACTCATTGTGGCATGACTGGCCATGTTGTTTCCCGCTGTTTTCGCCTCCATGGCTACCCTCCTGGTCATAAGTCTCATCCAAACTGGAACTCTAGATCAGGCCCTCCTAGACCCAAATCACAGTCCCTTGAAAAGGCTCAGAATCAGGTCAATCTGGTTGATGTTGGTTCTGCTTCTAATGCTGCCCTTGCTGTGGCACAGTCGGTTGATGGTAATACAGGTCAAAATACTTTGGCACAGGTACACTCACTCCTCTCTCAGTTGCTTTCTCAGCACAAAGGTCAGGGCTCTGTCTCCTTGGACTCAAATTTTGCAGTACCTTCCCCACCATCTCCAGGTATTTCCCTTGTTACTTACCCCCTTTTAACCACTTCACCTTCAAATATTACCTTTCCCACAGCTGTTTGGATATTAGACACCGGCGCTAGTACACATGTTTGCTGTAACCTGGGCTTATTTTCTGAGGTGCATGACATTCCTGTTGTTTCTGTTTCTCTTCCAAATGGGTCTTCTTTAAAAGTTACTCAAGCTGGAACTGTTCTTTTATCTTCTTCAATCACTTTGTCATCTGTTTTGTTTATTCCTACATTTCACTACAATCTTCTGAGTGTTAGTTGCTTAACCCAACAAACCTCTTGTTCTGTGCATTTTTTTCGTGACTCTTTTATCATTCAGGACCTTACTCGGGGCTTGATGATTGGCAAGGGTAAACAACTTCATAATCTCTACATCCTTGAGATGCTGCACACATCTTCTACGACAATTTCTTTGCCTTCCAAATTCTGCACTACTCTCTCAGCAACCACCTTTGATCTTTGGCACCACCGTCTTGGACACCCCTCTGACATCCGTGTTCATTCTATTGACAAGTCGTCTGAGCTCAAGTTCTCTACATCCGAGACTAGTTCCATCTCATGTCCTGTCTGTCCCTTAGCTAAACAAAGGCGTTTGTCATTTCCAGTTTCTTCTCATGTCTCTAAGTTTCCTTTTGAATTACTTCATGTAGATGTTTGGGGCCCTTGTTCTGAAATTTCTACAGATGGTCATCGCTTCTTTCTTTCCATAGTAGATGACTACAGTCGTTGTACTTGGGTCTATCTTCTGAAATCAAAGAGTGATGTTCTTCAGAAATTTCCAGAGTTTGTTTCTTTTGTCGAAAATCAATTCAATGCTTCAATTAAGTGTGTCAGATCTGATAATGCTCCTGAACTTGGTTTCAAGTCATTGTTTGCCAAGAAAGGGATCCTTCATCAGTTTTCCTGTCCCTATACACCTCAACAAAATTCCATTGTTGAAAGAAAGCATCAACACATTCTTAATGTGGCTAGAGCTCTTCTTTTTCAGTCCAATGTTCCTTTAGCCTTTTGGGGAGATTGTATTCTAACATCTGTATACCTCATTAATAGAACTCCTTCTCCCCTTCTACAAAACAAAACTCCTTTTGAGCTGCTCACTGGCTGCTCTCCTTCATACTCACATTTACGTGTCTTCGGGTGTCTATGCTATGTCTCAACTTTAACCAAGGACAGACACAAGTTCAACCCTCGAGCTATGTCTGCTGTTTTCCTTGGTTATCCACATGGTGTCAAAGGATATAAGGTGTTGGATCTTCATTCTAATGCTGTGCTTATTTCTCGGAATGTAGTCTTCCACGAGACAACATTTCCTTTCAAGTCCTTTCCTCAATCTCAGCCAGCATTAGATCCTTTTCCACAATCTGTTTCCCCTTTCTTTTATGAGTCTATTTCTCCTCAAAACTTGTCATCTTCATCAGCTCTTTCCCCTGTTTCACAGGAATTTCCCACAGATCCTATATCCAGCTTAGGATCCTCTGAAACAGATTCTTCTGGGTTTGTCACTAGCTCCTCAGCCCATGTTACTCGCCCACAGCGCCAAAGCAAAACCCCTGCATATCTTTCAGATTATCATTGTTACCTTATATCTCACAACAGTACTCCACATCCTAATCCTGTCACCCCTTACCCTCTTTCAGCTTGTTTAACCTATGATCTTTTATCACCTTCATATCGAACCTTTGCCCTCAATATTACCACTGCACCCGAACCTCAGTCCTATACCCAAGCTGCAAAATTTGAATCCTGGAGACAGGCCATGAAACTTGAGCTAGAAGCACTGATTAGGACGAACACTTGGTCCATTTGTACTCTACCTGATGGCAAGAATGCAGTTGGTTGCAAATGGGTCTTCAAGACCAAATACAATGCTGATGGTTCTATTGAGAGACATAAGGCTAGATTAGTGGCTAAGGGTTACACTCAATTAGAGGGTGTGGACTTTTCTGAAACTTTCAGTCCTGTGGCCAAAATGACCACTGTCCGAGTATTGTTAGCCTTAGCTGCCAAGTATAACTGGCTGATCAACCAAATGGACGTGAGTAATGCATTTTTAAATGGTGACCTTGACGAGGAAATATATATGAAACTTCCTCCAGGCTACTCGGACCTTCAGGGGGAGAAGGTCTCTTCCTCTTCTGTTTGTAAGCTTCAACGTTCTCTATATGGCTTAAAACAAGCCTCGAGACAATGGAATCAAAAGTTGTCTCAAGTTCTTCTTGCTGCTGGTTTTCTGCAAGTTCAGTCAGACAATTCCTTATTTCTCAAACGCAATGGTTCTCAACTTGTGGCTGTTCTTGTGTACGTTGATGACTTGTTGATCACAGGGAATGATGCTGCTATGATTTCGGATCTGAAGGATACATTACACTCGAGTTTTGAGATTAAAGACTTGGGACCCTTGCATTACTTCCTTGGTCTCGAAGTTGCCCGTTCCAAGCAAGGTATTTCTATTTGTCAACGCAAATACACCTTGGAGTTACTTGAGAATTTTGGAATGTTAGGGTGCAAACCCATTGCTACACCCATGGACACTAGGGAGAAATTAAGTGTTGATTCAGGTGATTTATTGGATGATCCTCTGATGTATAGAAAGCTGATTGGAAAGCTCATATACCTCAGTTTAACTCGTCCGGATATCAGTTTCTGCGTCACTAAGTTGAGTCAGTATATGGCCTCTCCTAGATCTGCTCACTTACAAGCTGCTCTTCGGGTTTTAAGATACCTTAAAACCAATCCAGCTCAAGGTCTATTTTACTCAGCAGAATCTGATATCAGACTTAGTGCCTATACCGATGCCGATTGGGCATCTTGTCCCGATTCACGACGGTCAGTTACTGGTTTTGGTGTGTTTCTTGGTAGCTCTTTGGTCTCCTGGCGATCTAAGAAGCAACAAACTATATCTCGAAGCAGTGCAGAATCCGAATATCGAGCAATGGCTCAAACTTGCTGTGAATTGGTGTGGTTGAACACTTTGCTGTCCGAACTTGGTATTTTCTGTCCACAGCCTGTTTCTCTTTACTGTGACAATATGTCTGCTGTTCACATAGCGAACAATCCCGTGTTTCATGAGCGGACGAAACACATTGAACTTGATTGTCACTTCGTGCGGCAACATATCAAGTCCGGATTCATCAGACCTATGCACGTTTCGGCAACTGACCAGCTAGCCGACATTTTGACAAAGCCCGTAACTGTTGATCATCTCCGATACTTATCCTCCAAGATGGGAATACGAAGTTTGTATTCTCCATCTTGAGGGGGAGTATTAGAGTCCATATTGGACGAGGAATCTTTGTTTCTGGGTAGGGACTCTAACGTCGGTCTCGTCATCGTCGACGTTATTAATGGCTTTTGTACCGTCGGCGCCGGCAATCTGGTTTGATCTCTTTCCACTTCCTTTCCGCGAAATTAGCCTCATTTATGTTTATTAGAGTCCATATTTTTGGTATTTGGTTAAGCTGGTTATCACTGGTTCTCTATTGATTAAATGGGTCCGGTTATAGCTACCTGAATCAAATACACGTGTTTATTCCTTTATTCTTTCTGTTTTGTAAATTTGTTTTTCTGTTATAGAATTTGTTAGATTTTGATTCCTTTTTGCTGTATAAAAGCGGATGTACAGTGGAGAAAGTAAATACAGAAAATCAGAAAGTTTTTCCAAAATGAGCTTTTCCTTTTCGATTCAATAATGTTCCGTCGCTGTTTGGTTCTCCTGGGTGTTTTTGGGTTTTGTCCGCTCTTGTTTGTTTGTTCTGTTCTGTTCGACGTATCGGATACTGGCCGTCGTTGCTTTCATGTCTTCCATCTGTTTGCGATAACGCTTCTGCCAATGTCGTGTTTCTGATTCTGGCCTTGTTCTTGGTTGTAATCTGATTCTGCAGGCCCCGACACAACACAACGAGCAGATATCTGTAATGGTGAAGGAATCTGCAAGACTTGCCGGAGAGTTCTGCTCTCGGAAATGGCCCATCTTCGCGTTTATGGACAGCCATCATCCTGATATTCCCGAGCCCCCTTACCCTCCTCACTGCATCATAGGAACTGACGAATCAAGACTGGTTCCTGGTAAATGTTCCTCTTTTCTCCCTCTTGGTTTATCGTTGAATTCTTAATCACTCTGTTCGTCAATATCATGGCGGCACACAATCAATCAGCTCTGCAGTGGCTTGAGAGTGAGCCTTGTGCCACGCTTAGGCCAAAGGATTGCATAAACGGATTCGTAGGTTCGATTGAGAAGGATGGATCCAATGTGTTTGTGGACTGGGTGAAGGAAAAACAGATCAAAATCGTGAGTATTTCGAGTATATGATATGTTACAAGTTCACTGCTTTCAGACAAACCTTCAACTTACACCAACCAACTCCCATGTTTGTTGGATCAAAGATACTGGTTGTAGGTATATGCACAGACATATGTGTGTTCGACTTTGTGGCTTCTACACTCTCTGCCCGAAACCACGGTCTTCTTCCTCCTCTTGAAGAGGTGGTAGTGTACTCTTCCGGCTGTGCAACTTTCGATCTCCCCCACGATGTTGCTCGAGGCATCAAAGGAGCTTTAGCACATCCTCAGGTATATATATATATATATACACACATATGAGTTCCTCCATAGAAATCTTTACAAAGATTTGAATTTTTATAATCAGCTGCTTCATCAAACGATACAATTCTGAACCTTCATTCTTTGTTGTGTATCCTTGTGTCAGGAGCTGATGCATCATGTAGGTCTACACATGGCTAGAGGAAGAGGAGCTAAGGTAGTGTCCGAAGTGTCCTTTGATGCTTGAAAGACTACTACACTGCAAGCGCATGCTTCTTCATCTCAAAGGTTCAGGGACCGGGTTTCGTTTTGAGTTTCTTTTTTTTGTGAATCTTTGTCAAACCTTGTTCTGTAAAATATCAAAATGAAGTATAATAATGTTGTCTTTCCTCTGAACAAACTACAATACACAGAAATCGTCATCTTCAGTAGTTGCTTTTAGGGTTTTCGTTATCTCGTCCTGTACGTTACACAAAGACCCGAATCTCGATTTCACTTCTTCCTTCAAATCTGCTCCTTTGGTCGAGCTTAGCTATCACGGCTTGCAGGTCTTCTATCCAAGTGTCAAAGCTCTGTATCTGACCAAACGCAGCGCCGAACCTTAACAAGAAATCGAGATTCTCCTCTAGAAGTTCATCAATGTTCATCCTGTAACTGTTCTTCAACAGGGGGACACATTGGAGCTGTGTTCCGAGACTGTAAACCCAAAGGAATTCATGTCCCTTCATTACTTTCTCCGAGACCCTTCTGCAGGAGGATCAGTTTCTCCCTTAATAACCGAATCTCATCATCGTCCGAGGCATTTCCATTCTTGAGTTCTGATTCAGTTTCCTTCGACCTCTTTCTCGATATCCTTGTAGTCAGTGAGGGCTTCTTCCAAAACATCCAAACGTTGATTGTTGGTGTTCTTTGGCATGATGGATCGGTATGCTCTGATACCAAAAATGATAGAACAATGTTGTAATATAAACCGATAATGTATTGATTCGGAAAAAACACCAATACAAGATGAGAGTTGATTATTGTGAGACTCTCCCTCACCCCCTTTACCTCGCACTTTCAGATCACAAAATGCCTACCCAGCCCAAAAGACTACTAGCATATATATATACGAGATGGCTATACACACAAAAGGTGCCAATCCCCATACAACCGTATTCCGTTGCCCTCCAGAATAAGTAGCAGAGAGCTATAATCCTAGTAGGTAATTATAATACCCCTAATACCCCTTAACGCCCTTCCCTTCCCTTGCTCTGCGATTCTGAATATTCTCCAGTGCCACCTGTCATCTTTTCCCCAACGAATTGCTTCTCTGTCTCTCCCTTGCCTCCCTCCACGTGGCCTTTGCTGATCGCTGCCTTCTTTCTCCTCACATAAGCCCGAAATGGCGTATCACAAGTGTTATTCCATTCCCTCCATGAACAACTGCTTCCAATCTGGTTCAACTTCTTTCTTCTTTTGCTCTTCTCGCGGCTCACCAATGGAATCCGTGTTAACTTCTTCGGGTGAAACCCTGCTTCCCTAAAACACTAACTGGATAGGAATCTGTCTTTCTTCAGACAAAGTTTGCTTCTCTGAACTATTTCTTGGACATGACTGACTTCTGTCTTCTACATCGACATTATAGGCAATTGTCTCGTCTTTATCTTTCTGTTTCAGGCATAATCGCAGTTACTTCTTTTCTTCATCACCCGGTTTTTATATATGATCTCTTTATGAATCAGCCAGCATTCGCTGGAGAAATTTCAAGCTCTTCATCATCTGGCTTCACCCCTTTCAAGTTCATGGAATTGATAATAGAATAGTTAACAGATACAGAAAAATGAGGGTCTTAATTAAGGAAATGGAAAACCATAACACCCTCTAACCGAGAGAGAGGTTTTTACATGTACACAACCACGAACACGTCACAAAACATATCTTCCATATCCGTCTCCTGTTATTACAAAGTCAGATATACACTCCCTTCTGCAGTTTCCATCACTGTCTCTTTTGTAGTTTCATGCCCTTTTTATCCACCGTATGGTAACCTGCAAGTCCAAAAAGGGACGGTCCAAAACCATATATTATACATATTTCATTCCTCGGAAATCTTAGATCAGTACGTTCTTACTAGTATCACACCCAGAAAATCTTAAAAACCCGTTTATACCCGAGCTTGAGGGAAGTGTCGGAGCTTTCGTCGTCAACGGGAGGTCCAGCCGAGTTTCCGGCATTGGTTACTGATTCAGACGAATGCCCTTCTTCGTAAACCACGTTTTTCGATTCCGCACCACCGTATCTCTCGTACTCGTTAGATACCTACACCGCAATATAATGAAACTTGACTAACCAGAACCTCGATCGAAACACTAAACTTCTTGATCATATCAGATGGGATATATACATGTATATACATATATATACACACGCACTTGTTGGCCGAGTCGCTCGTTCTCTTCCATTAGTCGCATTCCCTGCAGAAAACTCAACGAGAAAGCAATATGACAACAAAGTATGCATATATATATATAACGATCCTATCACGAGGTTTCTGACACAAGACAAGCGAAAGACGATTACTTGCTGTCTGAGTCGCTTGTTCTCTTCCATTAGTTCCATTCCCTATGACGAGAAGAGGGAAAAGATAAGTTATGAGATAATGGCATAATCATGCAGAGATGCTCCTATATATATACATATATATATGTTATACCTTTCTTTGGAGGTCACCGATCTCGTTCATAATCTTTTCGCTCTGAAACGGAAATCAGTTCATAATGACGATCGATGGAGTATGATCCGAGGAAAACGTGATGGGGAAAAGACAAGGAGAGATGTTTCAGAACCTTCTTTTCGATCACACGGTTCAACCCGGCTTCAAGGGCCTTCTCCAGCTGCTGCAGATCTTCTATGTTCAGACCTTGAAGCTCCTCCCCTCTCATTTGCCTTTTGTTCCATCACACCGATACGTACGTATCATCACATGTATATGCAGACATACATACATACATACATACATACATGCATGCATGCCATGAACACGATCATAACCAACGATATATATATATACGAAATGTCGATAGTAACCTTAACCGGTGGCTCTTCTCCGCGAGTTCTTTGCTCAGCCTGGAGTGGTCGCTGTTCTCCACCAGCTGTGAAACACAATTTGGTTTAAGTTTAAGCCCATAATCAGAACTACTAAACACAGTACGATGTATATGTTTTTTCCATATAAACACATCTAATCTCCCTAATCAGAGCTACTAAAACTCGAAAACAAAAACAGCATATAAACCCTAATGACGTGTCGTAAAAATCACATGAAAGGAATAAACCTGCAACTCGAGAGATGGCTGATTGAGCTTCTCCAGGTTCTTCGACTGTAAGTTATGCCTCTCTAACATCTCCTTCATGCTTCACAACGCAAACGCACGTCCCATTTGAATTTCTTACTTGGCCGAATCAAAGCATTGATATTTTTCCATTGGAATGCTCACAAATACCCATTTATTCATTTCTTTTTTGTAACCGGGTGGTTCAAGTTACAATATAAATAGCAATTTGCAAGTCAAAGTGTGTGTGTGTATATATATGTATATGTACATGAAGAAGAAACATGGGTTATTGTTTTTAAGAGATTTTGTCATTTAAGCTGTTTCTCTCTCTAAATAACAAGATTATAAATATGCAGAGCGTGAAGTTTTGTAAAAAAAAAAATTGCAATAAATGTCTACGTAACGTGCATATCTTAATATAATATTCCTTTCAATGGCCACACATATACTCCAAGGTCTTGTGAACCCATTGGTGTTTAGATCGTGGTCATTTACTATATAGAATAATGCGCCAACCATCTCATAAAATAGAGTTTTATTATGACCAAACAAAAAAAAAGGATAGTATAACCAAATGAAATCCTAAAACAAGTATAAAAACGCGTTCAGACCACCAAATGCTAAACGTATATAACGTTTTTGGTTAGCACACGTAAAGGAAAATTCCGGGAATAGACGATATTTTATGGAAGAAAAAATTTGAACAATTTAAATATGATTTGGCGTTGTTATTGTTGTGGAAACCATTACAGAAAGGGTATCACATCACAAAAATTACAAGAAGCTCACACATATATAGACGCGTATATATGTATATATGTTTGTATAGATGGGGACGCATGGACCGACCGACCGACCGAGACTAGAAGATGAAAGAAAGAGATGCGTGCCGACAAGCAGAGGGTGGGGAAATCCAAAATCGTATCTGTGGGATATGATAAGCCATCTAACTAGATTCCCCCACTCAACTCAACAGTCTATTATCCAAAATCTATGACTTTGTCCAAACAACACAACCAAAAAATCCCACAAATCCCCTTTTATTGTTATCCCATTTATCCGTCGCCTTCCAAACCCCATAATCAAATAATACTCACATAATCTTTATATATATGCATATCCACACAAATTCAAGAATTGATGCTAAATCCGTCCATAATTATGCAGATTAGTATCTAATGAGACCTTATTATAACGAATATTCAGGGGATTATGGACTGTATAAATAGGTTTAGTTTGGTATGATTAATCTCTTGAGTGGTATTTGGCCTGGTCAAACTAAGTACTTTCCATGGTGTTCTAAGCACAATGCTTATGTAAACATATTTCCAAATTATATACATATACATATATATATATACATATATATGAGTGTGTATCGAACGGTGTGATGTCCATTAAAGAGAGAGAGAGACTAATAATTAAACTGATTGATGCTACGTTTCTAGTAAGTTCTACAAAAGCATTTTCTTCTCGATTCTTCTGGATCTAACCCCAATCACTTTAAAGAACTTGAGAATTCTACAAACACATGCGCAACTACATATACGTATACATATATATATATATATAGAGAGAGAGAGAGAAACCTGGAGCTACAGTACTCGAAGAGCTTGCCGGTGGAGGAGAAGATGATGAGAGCGACATCAGCGTCACAGAGAACGGAGAGTTCCTCCGCCTTCTTGAAAAGCCCTCTCCTTCTCTTCGAGAACGTCACTTGCCTCGCCGTCGCGTTGTCGATCTTCTTGATCTGAATCTTCTCCCTCGCCATTACTCTCTCTCCCTCTCTCAAAAACCCTAGATTACTCTTTCGGATACCCAGATAACGAAAACCTCCGTTTGCAGTATACGCTAAGCGATTGAGCTAAACAAGCAAGGGTGGATCAAGTTCAGGAACAGGCGAACGAGAGAGTGAGAGGAGGAGGGAGAAAACAAAAAAGATTAAAGAAAGAGAGAAGAACCCAGAACGCAAATGGGGAATTTTGCTAAAAAGGGAGATCCAAAGATGCGAGACAACGACAAGACGACGGAAGTGGAAAGTAAAACGTGATATTTTTGCTGAATTTAGAAGAAGACTATGTTGAATTGGAAACAGTAAAACCCTAGCCAGAGACGAGAGAGAAACTCTCCGGGAGTTAGATCCAGACGACGAAATCCACATCAAAGCAACCGAAGCCTCATTTAAAATGATTGGCCAAAGGAAAAGAGACGGGAAAAGGAAAGTGATGATAAAAAAAAAATTCCAAAGGAATAATATTTTCATCAAGGTCAAGGGGAAGGGGACATGAGAGGGCTTTGATTGGCGAAGAGATGAGATATTATTATCAGGGGAATTTTATATTTTTTTATTCGATATTTTTTTAAAATTCAATATTTGTTTAATGTGTTTATTGGTTTCCGTGCCCGAATGTGTGGTGTATTTTAAGAGCAAAGTCTCCAATGAAAGGAGAGAGAAGGTGGGGAAAATTCTTTTTATAGGGAAGCATAAGGTGCCTGTCTCTCTTTGTTACCTCAGTGGTTTTACTTGCTGTAAAAAGGTTAAAACTTTGTAGCCTCGAGGGGCTATAAAGTAAACGCACTATGCAATAAAAAAGGGTATACAATAGGACATATACTCTATTACAAATCATAAACATAACATGATTATATTAATCCATCACAAGCTTGGCTAATGTCATGCGTTCTTGACGAAGTTTGAAAGTATATATTATAGCCTCATTTAATTAAGTTTATAACAATAAATCGCCCACCAGGTGGTGGAAGACTTAGAAAAAAGAGTGATGGGCATTGACTGAAAGGTTCGTCTTGTCCGTAGGCCTGGCTAATTAAATGTATGAAACGTCACAATAACGCAATCTCTTAGGTTTGAATTTGTTGGGGGGGGCAGAAAAGGAGAATCCGATTTGAACAGGCATTAATTTGGAGAAGAAGAAGAAAAGAGGGACCAAAGTGCAAATAAAGAAAATAAAACAGAACAGGCGACGCACCAGAGGCTTCCCCCAAAGCTTTACAGTTCACAGCATCCGACAAATTTGATTGGGATACGATTTAGCGTCCGTACAAAAGATAAGACGAAACGAGAAGAAAACCACCCAAAAAACTGCAATTAATTGTTATCGTCTCTCTCCCCCTCTCTCCATTTTATCGTATCGTGAATATCTCGCGTCCCACCGTGTGATCCGCACGTGCCCTTCCTTCCTGTTTGGGTCAAACGTGTCAGCTTTTTTGACTGCCCACGTGGCCTATCAGCTTCAAGTACATCGCTCTAGGCTTTTAGCTATTTTAGGTCCAACAGTAGCTACGCACAGGATCCACTACTGACACTCTGAGAAGGAATCCGACATTGGTTAAGCCCATTGGGCTTTTTATTGGGCCTCATTTTGAGCTCACAAAAGCCCATTTATGCGTAAGGAAGCTGCTGATTCTTCTGAATCGCTGAAAGGTTTGCTCGATCTGAAAATGGCTCCGGCGACTTGCACAAGACGACTGTTTTCACGATTCGCTGGGATCTTTGTTCAGATTCCGCATCTCGAGGTTTTGGTCTTCGTCTTCGTTCCCGGCGAATCGACTCTCTCCGGCTTCAGGTACTCTTCGGGTCTTTTGTTTCCCTGTTTGGTTCCTGGGAAAATCTCAGTACGAATCTGAACACTGAGGTCGAACAATCCAGTGATGGTTTTCGGGGAGTGGTAGTGGTTTGGATAGCTATCGTGCTCCATTCCGCGATTCTGCTAAGAACTGGAGCGAATCAGAGCTTCATCATGCAAAGCTGAGATCGCTCTACAAGGTTTCGTTCAGTCTCCATGCACTTTGAGTGATTAAAATCCGAGAATTCGCAGATTCTGCACCTTCATCCTTCATTGAGCGACGACTTGTCAGATCCCTCGTTCAATTTGCTAATTCAAGGTTACTAGTCGTACATCCTTGTCATATTATCATTTGTCCTTAATGGCCTCAGAACTCATGGAAATCGGTGATATAGGTGAAAACAATGCATTTGAGTGACATTCTGGATCATGGGCATGATCAAGGAATGGAATCCTTGATCGTACCCACCGAAAGATTCCGAATGTCCGATTTTTTTCGGGTCGAAAAACTGACTCGAATTCCGCTATTTTTCGGGTTGGATCGGGTCGGATTTCGGGGTCGGAACTAATTTTACACTCTATGTAAAGGTAATAGATAGTAAGTGATCACGGGGTAGGACTCAGAATGGAAATCATGGAGGAGGATAGCCATATGAAGAAACTGACTCTTTAAAGCTCAGTACCAAATCCTACCGTTATTGACCCAAGAAGATTGCACCAAATCTATATATATTACAGCTCAATACCAAATCCTGAAGTTTAAAGCTAAATCAAGTTTCACAATGCATGTCCAATTCCTGTTGACGAGTCTCCCCATGCACAATGACTAAAACACCCCTCTTTCCCACCCGTGCTCTTTCCAATCTCGTGTCCGTTTTCGTCAATTCAAACAGCTTGAAAACGCTTTCGGCTTTCTAACATTTGTCCTTCGCCGTGCCTCTGTTTCGTTGCAGTCTCTGTTGTTTGAACGGAAGGAATACTCCATACGATGGAGCGAGTTTCGACCCGACCCGGGTCCGAGGATCCGATCGATGTCTGCTGCCGACTTCTCGGCCTCCGTGAGTTTACCCTCTGTCGGATTTGGGCTCAAAAGGCTCGAGAATCGGACCCTAACTCTCCGGGCCTTGCCCAAATCCTAGCAATCGCCGACGTTCTTCTCGCCGCCGAGAGTCGGATAGCCGACGGTTGCCTGGATTTTTACTCCATCCTTCAGGTGAACCGAACCGATTGCGAGAACAGACCCGTGATCCTCAACCAGTTCAAGAAACTCGTGATGCTACTAAGCCCTAGCAGGAACAGCTTCCCTTTTAGTCGGGAAGCGTTGAACTTTATTTGTCAAGCGTGGTCGGTGCTGTCTAAGCCTGAGAAGAAGGAACTATACGATATTGAGATTGCAAAAGCAGGATTGAAGGGGAATACTGCCGGAGATTGCGGAAAACAGAAAACCCATGTGGCAAACGCCGCCGGCCGCGGCGGAGGAAGACCGGAAAAGGAAAAGGATGAGACTTTTTGGACAATGTGTCCGTACTGTTTCTTCCTGTATGAGTATGCAAAGATATATAAGGAACTCACTCTCAGGTGCCAGAGTTGCCGGAGAGCGTTTCACGGGATGGAGCTGGGTCCATTGCCGGCGAGTTTAACGGCGGATGGAGTAGAGAGTTACACCTGCCAAATGGGAGCTTTCCCAATTAGGTACCCTTCCCACGGTTTCTTCGGTGCGAGTGCCGGTGGAACAAACAGTGTGGTGGATGTTTCTGATGAGAGTGAGAGTGATCATAATCATGGTGATGGTGATGGTGATGATGATAATGATAATGATGATTGTGAAAACGGTGATGGGAAGGAAGATACCGAGAATGGCGAGAATATATTGAGATCGGAGGCGGCAAAGCAAGAAGCTTTGAGCAAAGGGGGTATTGTGGCTGGGAGATTGAATGGAAAGAGGGTGAAAATGACAGCGTGGAATACTAGGAAGGGTATGGAGATGAGAATGAGAATGCAGATGAAGAAGAGGAAGAGAGCTGAAGAAAAAAGTTTAGAGAGTGATGATGATAATGATGATTGTGAAAACGGTGCTGGGAAGGAAGATACCGAGAATGACGAGAATATATTGAGATCGGAGGCAGCAAAGCAAGAAGCTTTAAGCAAAGAGGGTATTATGGAGGGGAAATTGAATGGGAAGAGGGTGAAAATGACAGCGTGGAATACAAGGAAGGGTATGGAGATGAGAATGAGAATGCAGATGAAGAAGAGGAAGAGAGCTGAAGAAAAAAGTTTAGAGAGTGATGATGATAATGATGATTGTGAAAACGGTGCTGGGAAGGAAGATACCGAGAATGGCGAGAATATATTGAGATCGGAGGCGGCAAAGCAAGAAGCTTTGAGCAAAGAGGGTATTGTGGCGGGGAGATTGAATGGAAAGAGGGTGAAAATGACAGCGTGGAATACTAGGAAGGGTATGGAGATGAGAATGAGAATGCAGATGAAGAAGAGGAAGAGAGCTGAAGAAAAAAGGTTAGAGAGTGATGATGGCGATGGTGTTGATCCAGAGATCACTGAGTTAGATTGACATCTAACATCAATGCACAGAATGTTCATAATTGATGAACATTTGAATTGCTAGGAATCTGCTAGGCCGTTGCTTTTTAGCCATTGATCTTTCTGTGAATCTATGCTTTACTCGTACTAGCTACATTTAAACCACGCTTTAGTGCTAGTGTTTATTTTTGCTCGGACTCGGGTTTAAAATGAAGATGGAGAAGGTGAATCAAGTCTCGTTTGGCTACTGGATTATCTTTTCCTTAGCATGAACACTCCAAGATTGACTGACTGTTCAGTTCTGGTTCTGTAATTTAGGATTGCTGTCTTTGAAGCTCGTCTGTGCCGTTTTCTCTATGATCTCTGCGACTCTTCTCTGATCCTGCAGATGGAAAGAAAGAGACATGATGGCTGTAGTGGCAAACCAATGTAGGGTTTCCACTTCATTATGATCTGCTTATGTCAGAACTGTCAGAGTATCTAACAGTGGCAAAAGACTGTCAGGGCTGAGATAATGATAGACGGAGGAAGAACTAAGTGTATGCCATAACACACAATGAGTAAATGAAGATGAAGGACTGACAGTTCAATTCTAATTTTTAAAATGAGTGGATAGAAGTTATACAAATACAAGTATTCTTAGCTACATGTACATCTATAGTTATATATTAATATATTGTAATGAAATTGTTGTACATAGATCAAATTATTTCGTTGATTAGATTTCATTTGACCTCCTACGACGGGCAAAAGTTTTGTATAAATGTATCATCATATTAAAGCAGAATAAGCTAAAATTTCGAGACCTAAATACTTCACTTTTTTGTACTGTCTCCTTGAGCTCATGTCCAATCACTGCCTTGTATACTTGTACACCTCTGATGTTTTTTCTTACCCACTTGTTCTTCTTGTGACCCCAATTGAATGCTTCAATGGTTTGGTTTGACCAATAGAGGAAACGGCTCTGAATTTGAGCCTTAAGTGTCCATGCCATGGTTGCTTCTATTGGAGATATCTTCTTTCGGAGCAAAGGGATGGTGGAGAAGTTGCACCAAGAAGAGGCTCTTCAAACTTTCCCCACCTACTTTCTCATCAAACTACACTATAAATATATAGTTTCCCTGCATTATATTCTTCAGCTTCAAACCACAATAGGCTCCCCAGTAAGAAAAGACACATACCGAAAGGTCATCACCATGGCTGCACTCAAGAACTCCTTGTCTTTGCTTGTTCTTGCACTGACATCCACAAGCTTCTTCCCCTGCTTCTCTGCCCGTCACCTTCTCCAAGCTACCCCCATGGCTCAGCCTCCACCATCAACATTCCCACCTCTTCCCAAAACCACCCCACCGTCACTGCCTTCCCCGCCATTGCCAATGCCACCAGCTCTGCCACAGCCAAACACACAGATACCTTCCTTCCCCAACCCAACACAGACCACCATCCCAAATTTCCCACAGGTCAACTTCCCTAATTTCCCAAATATTCCCTTCACACTTCCCACCAACTTCCCCTTCGGCTTCAACATTCCAAACATCCCTTTCCTTTCTCCACCTCCTTCAAAATGAAGCAAATGACAATCTTTGCTCTTTAGCTGCCACAAGAGCCTACCTTTCTCCCCTTCCCAGGTTGCTGTTACACACTTTGCTTGCGTCGGTTTGCTTTGATATGTATGTGTATAATCCAGCATCTATGCACATGCTGGTATGTATCCCATTCTTTACAGATGTTGATGTTGTTGATGTTGCTGTTGTTGTTGCTGCTGCTGTTTCTGCTACAATGAGTCGGTTGTTCTTGTAAAATATACAGCTTTTTCTACTTGAGTGCTTGCTTTTTTCAATCCTGCTTTGCAATACTTCTTCAACTACTTGGCTAGCAGGTGATCATCAAATGAGCAACTTAACCAACCATCCTAGTAACTAGAAGAATCTTCCACATAAATCAAAAGTTACATTGCCATATAAATAAGAACAGTCTATTTCCACAGAAGAGAAATAGAATATTTCCTAGCTTGTTTCTGAATTCTGATTATCTTCAAGATCCGATCTTACAAGAAATCTCCTAAACCATGTCTATACTGTAAGAGCTCACAGTGCATAAGAAAGCTCGAAAGAATGGGGAATAACTTTTTTTTTAGTATCGTTTCTGAATCAACTTTTGTATGATTAATGGTAACATTTCCAATAGAAAACGAAAAAGTTACTTACGCAAGGATTCCTTCGGCAACTATAGTCATTGTTTGTAAAACACAAAGTCTCGTCTACAATTGGACTTGATAGCATCTTCTAATTTATCGACCTGGTCAAAATCCACTTTGAAGGTAACCATGGTAGTACCATCTTTACCAGTATCATAATCCTCCTTGATTTCATCAGCTTGACACGATTGGAGCTGCAAGACATAAAGACCCACGATTCATGATCAATAAAGCAGAGGCAAACCATACAAACCGAGATCACGTCAAAACAGACTGGACCAGAAACAAAATTTGCTGCCAAGATCGAGATGGAAACCATTGAGAGTACCGAAGATTCAAAGAAAAATATTCAGAAGTTCAGCAAATCACCTGATTGTATAGAACGCCTAGAAGATCAAACGGCACCTCGACACCCATTCGAACCTACCAAATAAGCAGGAGTTTAAATAAAAATCAACAGAAAGCAGGATGCTTTCGTAACCGGTTGGACTGAAAAATGAAGCCTTTTGTATATACACTGAGTATTCTTATTACATACGGAATTAAGGATACAGAAGAGTGAGATTTTTACTTTAGATTTCACAAGGCATGTCGGAGCATTTTTCAGGCATTCTGATGCAACCCCACCATATGCTCTAACAAGACCACCAGTGCCAAGTTTTATGCCTCCAAAGAACCTGAAAACTCAATTTCCAAGCAGCATCTACTTTCAATCACATCAAAATCCAGGGAGATACATATATTATTCAGAAACAATGAATCAATGAGCATGAACATTCAATCTCACCTAATGACAACAACCATAACTCTGTCTAATCCCGATGACACAATTGCAGAGTGAATCGGCTTTCCTGCGGTACCCGATGGCTCACCATCGTCGCTAGAACGATACTGATCGCCAACCTAAACCAGACCCATCAGCAAGACAAAATACCCAGAATTCAAAAATCAAACCTTTAATTCCAGATAGGGCAGATGAATGCACATATGATACCTACCTTGTAAGCCCAGCAATTGTGAGTGGCGCGGGGATCACGAACCTGACGATACACCGTCCAGCACACGGATCAGAGCTATCTTGCAAAAAAAATCGAAATACCATTTGTGCAAAAGGAGAAGAACCTGGGAGAGGAACGATTGAGCGGACTGTTCGTTGGAGATGGGACCTGCGATGGCGATGAACTTGCTCTTCTTAATCTCTTTCTCGAAGTTTACAACTTCTTTTATGGTCGTGAACTCCCCACCAGATGCGGAGGAAGACGTCGACGCCATGGTTTTCTTGACGGAAGCAACTGTAGAGAGAAACGAGGCGGAGCTCCGGCGGCGGAGAATGACGGCGACGGTGGTGGAGGCTATCGAAATGGTTACCGGCATTTGAGAGAAGGATCGTTGGATTCTCCTTTGCCTTTCTTTTCGGTAGCTTTAGATTGGATTTTAGATCGTTCGTGGGTTTTTAAAAGCCCAATTTGGTAATTTGGGCTTTTCGTTGATCCGGCCCACAAAAATCTACAGTATTATCATTCACAAAATTGAATATTTTTATTTAATACGTATTTAGAATTTAGGGATTCTCAAAATATGTCGATATATTCACATATCTAGGGAAAATATTTCTGACATATATCAAAATCTTGAAAATGTCACGATTTCAAAACTATACAAATATTACAAGCCTGAACTGAAATACCTAAATATCGATCTATTTACCAAACAAGAGACCTAAATATTCCTTTTAAAACTGTTTAAATTTACAAGATTATTTATTATGGGGTGGAAATTATAAACGAATATAAATATCATTTATTTTGAGGGGAAATTAAGAAGATGTACACATCGAATCTACTACGTAACTAGGCAGCTTCAGACGGTCGACGACTCCTACATATTGGGAGATATCGACACGTGTCGATTGCCCTGACGACCGGAAAACGGCTCAATTTGGCGGGAACGGGACAAGTCAGCTCTCGGACTCTTGGCACTTGGCCCTACTGAACAGACGCAGATTCAATTAACTATTAAAAACGTTATGATCGGGATTAGTCCTATATAAGTTGATTCGGACAATTATATATATTTTTTGTAATAAACAAGTTGGTTAATCTTAATCACTTGCAACAATACATGTGATTATCGCTGACTTTTGCAAATGGACAGCTATCTTTTCGTGACGCACATTATCCGTGTTAGCAACACAAAAAACAATATTGTTTTTTTTCTGTTATATATATATATATATATATATAATAAATATGTAAGTGTTATTAATTAGATAATATATATATATATATATATGAATTGTCATTTATGAGTATAAAAAATATACAATTAAGTAGGCATCCATGATCCATCCCCAACCCCTCATTTTCCTTACAAGTTATTTTCTTTTAATATTACTGTACAAATTTACTAAACGAAATTAAAAATATAATTCACGCTCCCCAAATATTACTTTTTAAAAATAGTTGAAACCTCGGGCTACTATTATATATGTATACATATAATCAAATTACTTAAAGAACACCAAATATTTTTTTTAGATATAACTCACATCATACAAACACTCTATGAGAGACCGATTGTGCATTGTACCTTTTTACTAAAAAAGAATATAATGAGCTTATCATATTGGTTTGCAATGAACAACTATATCGTTAGGAAAAAATAATAAATAAAATTATATGGTATATATCTCGAGGATTACAAAATTGCAACACTCGGAGAAAAAGGAAAAGTTTTAAATTTAAAATTTTATAATGGTTGGCATATCCAAGAAGTTAACTTCCCAATTAAAGATGATTTGTTTTGTTGGCAATTTCTTCGAATTAGAAAAAGGAAATAAAAATATGTAATGACATAAATTTGGTTAAAGTAACGTATAAATTACACAGCATAAAACGACAATTACTTGGACAACACAAACTGAATAACATAAAAAAAAAAAAAAATACTACATTTATTATGAGGTTTTTTTTTTGGAAACTGTACAAAAAGAATATATGCGTATATATCGCGAAATATTTCGAATATAGAAATTGCTGGAAAAGGGGTAAAAATAGGGGCCCAGTCCACGCGTACAAGAGCCGGAAACATTATAATAAATGAAATTGCAAAGAAAAGTAAAATTAAAATTTTCAGAAAACAATAGGAAAAAGTGTTTCTGATTCTTTGGCGTAAATTAACGAATACCAGACTCCGCGTTTACGTCGTCTGCTATATATATATATATATATATATATATTCTCTTCGTCTCCCTCTTCTCCACCTCGTCATCTTCAACCCACATAAATCTTCTCTCTCTGGAAAAAAAAAACCGGACAACAAAAAGCTCTGTCTGAGCGGCATATGTCTCAAAGGACCTCTGTGCCTCATTCTTCTTCTGTCGCCTTCGGCCTCCACTCTCATCTCCTAGTTTCCAGTGAGATGATTCCTAATTCCAACTGGGCTCTCTGAATTACCTAACCCCGTATTTCTTCTTCTTCCCATTTTTTTTCTGACTCGTTGATTTTTCTCTCCGATTTTCCCGGAAACAGAACAAAAGGTTAACTCTTCTCTGGTTCCGCCATTTTTTCCGAGAAGATGGGTCTAAAGGGTTTTGCCGAAGGAGGAGTCGCTTCGATCGTGGCGGGTTGCTCGACCCACCCGCTTGACCTCATCAAGGTCCGAATGCAACTTCAGGGCGAGTCCGCTCCGAACTCGGCGGTTCAGAGAAATCTCCGACCAGCTCTTGCATTTCAGAACAACGTCTCCTCCTCCGCCGTCCACGCGCCACCGCCTCGCGTGGGTCCGATCGCCGTCGGAGCCCGTATCATCCAGAACGAGGGCGTCGCCGCTCTGTTCTCCGGCATCTCCGCCACCGTTCTCCGGCAGACGCTCTACTCCACGACCCGTATGGGCCTCTACGACATCCTCAAGCAGAAGTGGACCGACCCAGAGACCAGAACCATGCCCCTGACCCTAAAACTCACCGCTGGTCTCATCGCCGGAGCCATCGGTGCAGCCGTAGGGAACCCCGCCGACGTAGCGATGGTCCGAATGCAGGCCGACGGGCGTCTCCCACCGGCCCAGCGCCGCAACTACAAGAGCGTGGCCGACGCGATCTCGCAGATGGTCCGCCGCGAGGGCGTGACGGCGCTGTGGAGGGGGTCGTCGCTGACGGTGAACAGAGCGATGCTGGTGACGGCGTCGCAGCTGGCGTCGTACGATCAAGCGAAGGAGACGATCCTGGCAAAAGGGCTGATGAAGGACGGGCTGGGGACCCACGTGGTGGCGAGTTTCGCGGCCGGATTCGTGGCGGCGGTGGCGTCTAACCCGGTGGATGTGATAAAGACGAGGGTGATGAACATGAAGGTGGAGCCAGGGGTCGCGCCGCCGTACGCCGGAGCATTGGATTGCGCGGTCAAGACGGTGAAGGCGGAAGGAGTGATGGCTCTTTACAAAGGGTTTATTCCGACAATCTCGAGACAGGGACCGTTCACTGTGGTTCTGTTCGTGACGCTCGAACAGGTCAGGAAGCTGCTCAAAGACTTCGACTTTTGAATGTTGTAGAGGTCGAAACGATGGCGGCGATAATGAAATAAAACTTCATCGTAAGATTCACTGTTTTGTTTTTCTCATTATAATACAAATGGACCTTATTGTTTTCAATTTGATAATTCAATGAAAGGAACAATATAGATGTGAAAGGATGGATGATGATTCCTTTTAGGCCCTTTCAAATTTTCCAATGTAACAAAAGACCATGACACGTTGTTCATCACGCACCGACCTTCTTGAATACCCACAAGCATTCGTTACAACAATGGAAGACCAAATTCAAAACGATGTTGTAGAGGTCATAACAAAAGCAGGATGCTGATTCCTTTTAGGATACGTAATGACCAAACTCATTATTCCAGATTCAAGATTGGCATAATCTTTGGATTTGGTAATCGAATACGAAATACGATTTGAATTTGAATATATCCCTTCATACTTGTCAATGCCACCTTTCTTGCAGTCTAAGATATTCCTTCACCAAGAATCTGAAACTCAACCAAAGTAAATTCTAAAACCTGTCCGAGAGATTTCTGTACACGAGAAACACCGCCACCACAAGGACACATCATCTGCCACTGTCCGAACCGAGAACCTGCTCTTTGATTTCTTCCATTTTTGTACTAAGCTCTTCTCTGTTTCTCTGCAAATCATGTTTTTTTAGCAGCCAAACAAGGTTACTATAAGAAGCCTTTACATGCGTATAAACCAAATCTTTTGAGATGAGTTGGAAACATTCCCTCTACCTTGAACAACAAGTAACGGGTTGCGAACCAAAGTGTGTACCCAATACCTACCACTTCCAAGAACTTTGGCAACTGAAACATCAATGGTGATGGGGTTACTGTCTGGATAATAGCATTCGACTACTATGCTGCAGTTTATCATTAACGAAATTTAAGGTTTCAAAAGTACCCACCAGCGGAATTGATTCCACCGAGCCAACAACAGCAAATGCCAGATACAGAGCAATCAAAGCTCCACTCCCACACAGCAGCAGGATTGAAAAGGTATTCTCAGAGTCCAGCTACATCAAAGAAAGCAACTCAGTCAGTTACATTGACAAATATGCGGTACATCATGAAGTCAAGAAAGACGCAACACTGTCACTGAAAAGATTCATAGGATAGGGGTGATGCATCTGCCAACCCAAGAAACCTAAGGATAGACTTTGAAATGATAGGAAATGAGGATCAAAACAATTGGCAAGAAATGGAACAGAGGAGTGTTCAAAAGAACAATTTGTTGCTCAGGTAACCGCTCAGGTCGACATCACGTCGATGTTTCACTAAGCACCAAAGTGCCTTCAATAGATCTTTATATTCATCACGGCAACAAATTTATGGGCAGAATATGCACAGGCAAGCCAAGATGAGATCAGTAAAAGTCTCCTAATTTTAAAAGATTTTAAATGAGACTGCTGAGGAAAATTCTAATATGAAATGTTAGATAACATGAAAAAGTTTAAACCAGAAAAAAATGGCAGTACAAATAATCAAATATAAGACTAGTCTGAAAAGCAACAGAAGATTCTTGCTTCCAGGACAAATTCTGTGGAACTATTCAGCAAGAAAGGGAAAAACGCAAGCAGAACACAACAAGGTTGTCAAGAATTCATTAAGCATCCAAAGAACGCTTTCAGTACACCAAAGGCATCACCATATCAACCACCACAGCTTCAAACTTCTCTAAAAGAAATAAAATTTAAGCGCCTAAAGCCCCAAACTTTTCACCCTTCACGACAAGAAAGCTTCAAAACTGCAACATACAAAGTATAGGCATCTCATGAATATTACCTCTACGCCGTTCAAGAACTCAAGTGTCTGTGTCTGCTCATCCTCCAAGGATTCAGCTTGAGCTCTTTCTCGGGGCACTCGCAAGCTTCTCACACTTTTCTCTACAGGTGAAACATCTTCCACTGCAACTGCCCCATCGCATTTCTCCACGCCAAATTCATTGACTCCAGTTGATGCTTCTTCGGAAATTGTTTCTCTTGGGAATGAACACGTACAACGCAAGGTGCCTTCCAATTGAACAACAACCCAAATAAGATGTTCAGGTTCCTTCTCAGGAGCCATGAACAAACACCATAATGCAACGGGATCCGGTTAAACGAGTGAAAGCAGAAAAGAAAGAAATATATAAAATTTCAACAGAAAATGAAGTGTGGCCGCTAAATATCAAACCGGACAAGAACATATCCTTTTCCAGCATTCAGGATCACACTTCCAAACAACACGTAACAGTACAGATTGCAAGCAATAATCGAATCATCCAAAAAAAAAAAAAGCAAAGCAAAAGTGGAAACTAGGGTTTTTCAGGACTCGTACGGGATCGAAGATCGAGAGCCGCCATGTTCAGCCCGAGAGAGATAGAGGCTCTGTATCGGAGGAGATTAACAACGTTCCCAGAGAGAAGAAGTCCATGGCGGTTAGTTCTCGAAGGAAGATTGGCGACAGCTTGAGACGCGCAGAGCTCCATTTTCAAACGGACGCGAGTGGGAAAATGAGCTGCTCAAAGAGCTCGGCGCTTTTCTTCTTCTGGGAGCTTCGAAATGGGAGAGAGGCTTATGAAGAGAGACCTCCCCATTTATAAGCAAAGAAGGCCCCTAGGGTTTTACTTATTGAGCCTATAATAGCTTATTGGGCTCAATTCAAGGCTCATTTATTTGTACAAATAAGCCCAATTATGTCTCCGTGATTCTCTGGAAATGGGCTTAAGAAACAGTGTTAAGATCGTGTTGGGCTTTTCCTCGCCTAGATGTCAATGCCATGTCGAATACTCAAGTTGTATTTGACCGACCCGGGGGGGGGGAGGAAGAAAAATAATTTGGTCGGGGGGCAAACCTGTGAATTCAGAAAAATAAGTTTTCTTCGATATTCTTGTTGTTATTATTATTATTATTATTTGGTCCCATCTTTTTTTTTCCGTCGTCGATTCATACATATAATACGAGTAACTCGTCATGTTTCGTTCCATGTTTCCCACCATTTATAAAGCAAGGCCACAGAGTTCAGTTCACATGTTACAGTAACAGGGTGACCACATTAAAAACACATCCGACCATTTTGCGAGCCATTTCATTACATCAATCATGAGTCCAAACCCTTAAGGATTTAGGGTTTTAACCCTCTCCAAGAATCGGTTTTATCAGAGCCGTCTCACAAAATTTGGAGGCCCTGTACATATTATAATAAAAAATTATTAATTAATATAATAAAAATAATAATATTAAAATATAATTAAAAATCAAATATTATATTATTTTCAAAAATATTTAAAATTGATACAAACATATCTAATATAACAAAATATACAAATGAACTAAGTTAATATAAAATATTAAACATTCATTTAAACAAGACAGTTCTTCTAGCTTTATTTATATAAAATTTATCAACTAAATCTTCATAATCAATTTTCTCTAAAAAATCGTTCTCTATTGCGAGTAATGCTAGTCCGTTGAGCCTTTCTTGAGACATTGTTGAACGCAAATAAGACTTCAATAATTTCAATTTGGAAAAACTTCTTTCTGCAGATGCAACAGTAACAGGAATAGTTAATAAAATTCTATAAGCAATCATTGCATTAGGAAAACAATCCATACATTTCAAAAAATTCAAAATATCAATGGGTTTCATCATTTCTTTAGGTAAAACTTCTCTCAATAATTTTAATTCCATATATAATTTATTTCCATCAATATCAGATTGTTCATCTTTTCTAAGAGCATTTTCAAATGTATCACAACAACATTTTAAATTAGTACCATTTAAAGAACGTAATTTTTCTGAAGTAAATAAGAAACCAAAAACATTTTCATATTCTTGATATTGTTCAAACCTCCTATTAAATGAACCAAGTGCTTGGTCAATAATATATAAAAAATAATTTATTCTAAATAGTTCTTGAGGAGAAAATGAATTACTAGAAGATGTATCATCTAAATTCTCATCAAATGATTTTTTTCTTCGAATTTCACGTCTTTTTTTAAATACATGATCAACATCTATTTCCGTATCAATCGATTTAGCAATTTCTAAAGCATTAGAAAAACCAGTTTCTCTATATTTTTCAAAGAAAGAAATCAAACCCTTTAACTTTTGAATAGCAACATCAATATGCATATCACTTGCTTGTAAATGTTTACTTACCAAATTAACTGCATATAGTATTTCAAACCAAATAACTATTACTACCAAAAACTCAAAATCACCAAGCTCATTTGTCGCTAATGATTTAGCTTCACTTCTTATTTTAGAATCATTATCAATTTCTGATATTTCTAATAGAGCTTCTTGTATTTGTGAAATTTGAAATCTAATCGCTTTAACACTTTCAACACGACTTTCCCAACGGGTAGATGACAATGGTTTTAGAGACAGTCCTTTTACATTATCTTTCAAAATTTGCCACCTTTTAGTAGAATTAGAAAAAATTGTATATATCCTTTGTATAACTCCAAAAAAATCTTTAGATTTACCACATGTATTAGCCATATCACATAATGCTAAATTTAGACTATGAGAACCACAAGGGGTATAAAAAGCCCTAGGATTAACATCTAAAAGTTTTTTTTGTACACCTTGATTTTTTCTTTTCATATTTGATCCGTTGTCATAACCTTGTCCTCTTATATTATCTATAACAAGATCAAGTGATTTTAGTTCATTTTGTAACACAGCAAAAATCATTTGCCCAGTTGTATCATTCACATTTAAAAACCCTAAAAACGATTCTTCAATCTTAACAAGATCAAAAGAGATATTCACATACCTGATAATCAAAGACATTTGTTCTTGGTGGCTACTGTCTGGAGTACAATCAAGTATAACAGAAAAATATTTTGCTTGCTTTACATTTTTAATGATCTCATTTTTAATTGTAGAAGCAAGTAAAAGAACTAGTTCATTTTGAATAGTATGACCAAGATAATAATGATGAATTTCATCATCTGTAATACGTCTCAAATGTTCTTGAACAATTGGATCAAAATCTGCCAACATTTCAATTAAACCCAAAAAGTTTCCATTGTTATTTTCAAATAATCTTCCATTTGTTCCACGGAATGCTAAATTATGTTTTGAAAGAAATTTTACAATTGAAATAATTCTAAACATGATATTTTTCCAATGATCTTTTTCTTTCATAAGTTGTGTATAAGCTATTTTATCTATAGTTTGATTTTTTTTAAATCTTAAACGCAAATCATACCAAGTGACCATATTTTTTATATGTTCTGCACTCATTTCATGTTCTTTAAGTCTAATACTAAGATGTATCCAATCTCCAAAACCCTCATTTGCTAATTGGCCTTTTCCAATATTTTTTTTAAATATTTTACAACAAAAATAAAATACTTTATCTAGTTCTTTTGAATAAACAAGCCAATCTCTATCACATTTTTCACCATTTGATAAAATTCTAGTATAATATATTGATGAAAATCGCCTAGAAAATTTATCTTTTTTACCTTTTTCAATATTCATGTCTCTCTTAGGACCATTTGCTACTAAAATATCAATCATTTTAGAATCAAGATTATCCCAATTTCTTGGATCAAAAATATTAAGTATATTAGTTTCATAAGAATTTTTTTCATTATTTTGTAAACTATCATTATTATCAATAATCTTATTATCAATAATCTTAATGTCATCATTTTCATTCATATCTACTACATTATTAGTAATATCATCTTCATTTTGACTAAGAGTTTGTGGTTCTTTTATAACAAATTTATCTAAAGCTCCTTTTTGAGATTGAATTAATTCTTCAATTCTTTTCTTTTTTTTACGTTTTTCAAATCCAGAATCATATTTTCTAATTCCAGAAGACATATTTAAATTTAAATACTTAATAAAATAAATAAATAAAATTTGAGAAAAAACCTGGAAATTATAAATTTAGTTTGATTTTCCAATTTTTTCTTCCAACTATCAAACCTGAAAATAAATAACAATATTATTAGAATTTAATAATATAAATAAAATCATCACATAAATAACAATTAAAATAAAAAATAGAAAATTAAAAAGTACCTTAATATTATGTTCTCTTGGCAGCAAACGAAAAATGTTCTCTGATTTTTTAACTCTGATTTTTTAAGGACAAAATAAATGAATAGTAAATTGAGAAGAACGTACGGATGAAATGATAATGGTTTTGGATCCTCCATTTTTATAGAATAATTTGTTACCGTTAACAAATTATTTAATATTATTATTTTAAAATTTGTAATGATGTGCTGTAATATAATAAATGTTGTTACGTAGTGACGTTTCGTAATTGGTGACAATTATTTTAATAAAAAATAGATAACGGTCAAAAACTTATTTCGTCCCTATTATAATTATATTTAATATTTAATATTATATGTCATTAATAATTTTTAAATGAAATGGGGCCCTCCAAAATTTGGGGCCCTGTACGATCGCACATGTTGAACCGGTTAAGAGACGGCCCTGGGTTTTATTATGGGGAAAGATCCGATCTTTCCAGGTCTTTGGTACAACAAAGATCATCAGTAAGCAATGCCAAAAAGACACAACACCTTGATGTGGATTGCTTTTGCTTCACGACGTCTCCCTAGAAAATTTTATGATAGAGGGGAGTTTTCTCTAGCGGAGAAAATTGCTATACATTTTTGTTTTCCGAAAAAAGAATTATCAAAACTCAGAGAAAAGGGAACTGATTCTCCTCCTCAGTCTATGATATAGATGAGATTTGTTTTCTTCTTCTAGGGATTGGAACGAAAGATCCCTCCTTTCTTTTTGCGACGACGACGATGATAAATTAGATGAAATCGGGCTGACCTGTCGAGGTCAAGCATCGATGCCACATACGGCTGTTCGGGTCGACAGCTTTCGGGTATGCAATGACTTCGGGTATCGGCAAATACGCGTAGTGAGTGTTTATTATCCCTACTGTTATCCCACTGTGCCCCGCAAACGCCCCGTGCACCTGCAATTGCCATCATCATAACAACCATCCTCTCATCATCCATCCCATCCCATTGTATGCATATGTACACTGTATTATTATTATTCACCGTATAGATACGGTTGTATTTTGTGTATATGTGCAAGTGACTTACAGCGTTTTGTCCCAAAACCGTGCAGAGAATGCCATCTGAAGCATTTGCCCGGACCGCACGTATCATATACGTCGGGTCAATATACTTCACATCTACCGGAATTCCTACCTCCTTAAAATACTTTTTCGTCTGTCACAAATTGGGGAGAAATATTGTAAAGATCAGCACAAATTCAATAAACAGAACTCTTCTTACGAGATTCTCGAGCAAACGGGCTTGTGTCAAAAGGCTCACCAGAGCACGAGAAAGACCGATCTCACAATAAAATATCGAGCATTTCAGGGTATTCTGTCAATAAACTAACCTCTTGCTGAATATGCACACCTATATCACCAAGTACCACGTTTCCAGATGCATCTTTGGCGTTGGTTTTCTCGAGGAAACTCTGCAAGAACGAAGAGTTAAACCTCCGGGGGGGCACAGACGATTATGTAATACAGTTTTTTTTATGAGTTTGTGGAGATTATCGTTATCGAAAAGATCCATTTTTTTTCATATCATAACTTGCATGGGAAGAGGAAAGACGCAAACTTTTGTGATTGCGTTTGAACACGTCGTTACCTGTCCGGCTCCTTCGGCTACACAAACCACGGCAGAACCTTTGGTTTCAATAAGATACTTCAGATGTTTCAGTACGCCATGTGGCCCGCCCAGATTGAAAGGCACCTGAAAATAACGGAGCGTGGTAAGAGCAATCTCCGGGTTAACGATGAAGATAACAAAAAACACAAAGTACCTCGGGAATCAGACAAATATCGACTTGTCCACTTGCTAAGGATGCCTGCATGGCAATGAATCCACTGCTACGACCCATCAGTTTCACAACTCCGATACCATGATAAGCACTGTGCGCCTATTGCATCACCACCAGAAAACAAAAAAAAACACGGGTTTACAAAGCTCTTGTAACTGAATTTATGAGTATATGAATACAAGAATTTTGTCAGTCACAATATCGACCAAGAAAAATCGAAGATATACCTCAATGTAAGCAGAGTTTATCGCACGTTGTGCTTCTTCCACTGCAGTGTCGAACCCGAAAGTCTTGTCCATCAGCAAGATGTCATTGTCGATGGTTTTCGGCACTCCAACCACCGCTACCTTCATCTTTCTTTGGCGGCACTACAAGAGAACACAGGAGGAGTAGAAAAAAGCAAAAGATTGAACACGGGTTTCGGAGAGAAGGAATAGAAGAACATATACACCAGATCAACCGGTGTTCATGTAAGAGATTCAGACAAGAACATTAGCCACAAACTTCATTCAAGGTTTTTCAAAGTGTTGAGTAACAAACAACCTCGTTGTGTATTGCATTGGCACCAGCATGTGTCCCATTCCCGCCCAACACAAAAAGCATGTTGATTCCTCTCTCCTGAGATCATATAAATCAGATTGGTGTCATGTTCCAGAAATATGCACTCTACAGAATAATAACAGGTCTTCTCAAGACCCGGAAAAGAAAAAGAAAAGAAGAGAAATTTCCTGAGCCGAAGAGCTAAAATCAAACGATACCTGGAGGCTGTCAACGATTTCAGCAACCGAAGGCCCGCCGCGTGAAACTCCCAACAAGCTTCCACCAGAGAGATGAATATTTTGTACCACCTTCCTCGACAACTGAAAATCCAAAGAACAACAAAATATTTTTAAAGAGAGAGCTTGCGGAGTTCAATTTTCCACACGAGAGAATGTACGTAGTTTTACAGGCATTTCGGTCAAGTCCTTATCGGAAAACCCGCGATAACCAAAAGGGATTCCCACGATGTTCTTCACACCGTATATCTCGAGAGTGATGACAATCTGCAAAACATCCAGCAACAAACCAGACTTTACGGAAATACAAAGAGTTTCGCACGAAAACAAGAGCGCATACATCACAAAACCTTTAGGAATGTCTTAATTCTTAAAAAGAGGAAACAGTGGAAAGCAATGAAACTCACATGTCTGATGACATCGTTAAGACCAGGGCAAAGACCACCACAAGTGACGATTGCCGCCTTCACTTGCTCGGGTCTGAAGTATATCTTCTCCCGTGGCCCAGCACGATGAACCCTAGCCGATATTCACGGAACATGATCAGATTATCGCATCACAATGCACTGCATCTAAACCAAAACATCAACCTGAATAAAGGAGACACCGACAACAGTTACCATTGCTCGACCCAAGAACAGTCTTGATCAATGCACTCTGCTCCCGCAGAAGTGGGGGAAGAGTAGTTAATTACCTGATGGATGCAAGAGATCAATCAATCCTCATCAACTTCAGTGATTTCCACAAAAATCTACAGAAACTTCTCCGATTCGATCAATCGCCATTAAAAAGGGAAGTACCTTGAGAAGGACTCTGTCGTTGTTGTTTATGTATCCATGCCATTTTTCATCGGAAGGGTAACCTCCGGCGAAATCTTCCGTCGGAGACCTGCCGGAGAAAAATCAAACTCCAGCTAAGTCACCCACTCGTCAACTTTACACAGAATTACAGAAGATTCGTCGAACCCGATTTCCATCGAACGCGGGAAACAAACCCCAGAAATTGGCGGAATTCCGAGAAAAGTCACTGACCTCATCTTGAGGCAAAACGTAGAAGGAATCGCCTCTGCATCTGGGAATACATCGGTGAGGTGAGGGATGCTGAATCGCTGCTCGAAATCTCTCTGGTACTTGTACTTCCATTCGGGATCGCTGAAATCGATCGCCGCCGCCGCCGATCTCTTGCTCTGCTGCTGCACCGCCCGCACCGCCGCACCACGACGGATCCGCCGGGAATTCGCCATGGATGGCGCTTTCCGGAGGAGCAAGGAGCCGAGCCCAGCGGGCCGAACGAGCACGGAGCCCTTGGGAGCAATGACGGAGCCGATCGCCGGAGAGAGAGCTTCCATGGCGAGCGAAGATTCCGTCGAAGAGACCGAACAGGATCGGATCTTCCGCTTTTGATCAGTCCTCTGCTTCTCTCTACTGACAGCTTTGGAGGGAACTTTTTTTTCCTTTTGTAATTTTTTTTGTTGGTCGTGCGATACGATCGATGGCTTATAGAAGTTGGAAAAGACACAAGCAGACAAGGAGTTGGGAACTGATTGTGTTTTTGGTTAATACAACAACTGATTTTTGTTATTATCTGATATGTGAAATCTTTTGTAATTAGAATATATACACTGAATTACGAAGCATTATTAGTGCTTTGATGCGTAATTAAATACCTGAAATCCTCCTTTTTCTATTGAAAAGGGATTTTTTATTTTTTAATTAGAAGTGGGGGTATGGGTATCAATCAAAGTCAAACTTGAAGACATCTATGCTTCTAATTAAATGCCCATTTAATTAATGGAATAATTGAATTTTTGGGTAAAAATATTTTGATTTTAAGAAAGAGAGTTAGCAAAAGTCGCAAACTCTGATTCCGGAAACAAAACTTTAGATTCGCATCTTTTGGCGTCGGTAGGTCAAATAGTCGACCTTTCTAACACCTTCTTATTTTACAATATCCCTTTTTTATATATAAATTTGGCCTTATTTTCCCATGTTATCATTTTTTTTTTATAACGGAGTACTCGTAACTCTACCCTTCGGACGCTAACTAGATAAATCCTTTGTAACTAGGTAAATCTCCGGTTCGGAAACACTCTTTGTATATGGATCATATAAACTCAGAAATTATCTCTCTTTTTACCTGTCAGGAATCGAACACTCAATCTCAAGATGGAGTTATCTCCTACCCCAAACTGACTATTCGCTCACGAACTGTTGGGTTCATGTTATCCTTACCCCTTTCTTTTTCTTTTGTTTGAGGTAATTTTCCATCATATACCTAAATGAAACGAAATATTATCAAAATCCAGAGGATCCATTTTTTTTATATTTAAAAAGTTTTTTTTGATGATTTCAATGAAAACAAAATTGAAATAAATGTATGAACATCACATTCTGCAACGACACATGGGTAACAACTAGCCGTTCATTTCAATTAAATGGTCACAAAATCTTCTATTACGACCATGGAGACTGACACACTTGAAGAAAATCTTCTCTAAAATTCAAACTAGTTTCTATATACCAACATGGGAAACGAATATAATTACGACAAAATAAACCCTTATATTATTAAATCAACCAAATAGTATATACACGTATATCTCCATAAAATATCAGAGATTTTTATACATCTATAATAGATATGTGCATAATAAAATTATATATATCTCAATAAAATATCAAAGATCCGTATATATCTAACATGTTAAAATAAAGACTTTGCTCTTGATAAAGTATCAGACCTGAGCCTCCGTCTTTTCTCCATATCCCCAGCTACATTAATACGATAACTAAATCTTGATTATTGTTAATTACATTGTTTCGTAATCAAATTTACGAATAGCTAATTGGACCAAGTAATAGAGAATTGGATCAGATTCAGGGCTAGTGGGCTTGAACTTATATTCACAAAAAGCTTCATAGGCCCACAAAGACCCACTTGAACGTGTTTTTGTTTATGAATTTTCTAAAATAGTCTCGTTTCGAAATTATCCATTTTTCTTTTTTTTTTATAAAAAAATCATTTTTAATTGCACTTCCTACTATTTACCCTTTTTTAATTTTAAAAAATAATATATCTTTTGTTATCTATTTCCTTCTCATAGGTCTCCATTATCGTATTCGAGCATGTTATTTTTTTAACATATTTGACTTGTTTATATCGAATGTACATAGATACGCTTCAGGCCACCTAATATCAGTCAACGCATCGGATTTATGACACGTGTCTTCCCGATACGCTTCTGTTCGGTGCTCCAACTCGTAGCTGATCCTTCAAGGAAACTTCATCGTTCACGACACGACAAGAAAAATAGGAAAATAAAATTATCAATTAAAAATCTCACACCAATAAAAAGGGAAAATTAATCAGATATTAATAATTCAAACCGCCGTTGCCAAGCTAAGGCCAAGTTGTAATATATGTGCTTTGCATGATTATGGCTTCCATATTTTAAATAAATCCCCATTATTCTTATTTTAAAATATAAATTCAAATTATTATTAGCCCCAACGCCCCATCATCCTATTCCTATATATACATATACTTCCCCCTCTTCTCTCTTCAACACCACCTGCGGGAAGAAAAGAACAGAGAGCATTCTCAGTTTCTGGTTATGTTCTTCTTCCATTTTCAGACACAAGATCAAGATCACAAGTAATAACAGAGAGACAATGAGTTCTAGGGCTCTTCAGGCTCTCATCTTCATCGGTCTCTTGGCGACGTCCTGTCTCGCTCAGGCTCCGGCGCCGGCACCCACCGTGGCTCTCCCGCCGGCAGCCACTCCTCCGACAACGACTGCTCCATCTCCGGCGTCCATACCACCGGCTCCAGTGAACGAGCCAACTCCTCCTCCGGCCACTCCTCCCACCCCATCGTCCCCGTCCCCTTCGCCGTCGTCGTCTCCAGTGGCTTCTCCACCGAAGCTGGAATCTCCGGTGGGAGGACCCTCCGGAGCTCCGGCACCGGGACCAGAATCCGATGCTTCGCCGCCGCAGTCGGACGACGCGTGGGCTAACAAGGCTTTCTTTGTTGGCACCGCCATTGCCGGAGCCTTGTACGCCGTCGTTTTGGCTTAGAGAATTCGATATTGTCGTGCATGGTCTATATATATATATAAGAGAGAGAGAGCAATGAGGATGCCCTCGTTTCTCTATCACAGTTCATCGAGATTTATTCCTTCTTACTGTTAATTTCATACTTTTATTTTATATTTATACATTTATTTCACATTTCATACGTTTGATCATTTCCGTATTTTTTTTTTTTTACATTTGTTCTGACACGTGTATTCTTGAAATTGGGCCCTGTATGGACAAGAGTTTAGATCTGGTGTAAAATCCATCAGGCCCATAACATTTTTGCCGACCACCCAGCCCGAAATTCCATCATTGCCCTTTCCTACCAAATCCCAGAACCGATGGCCCAAACTCTCTGCTACTGCTCACGAAATCTCTCAGAATGCCTCTCTCTTGAGCCGTTCCAAGGCGCAGATCAGTTCGAAATTCACGTCTTTAGATCTCTGTCTGAACTCATTAATTAGAGCTCGTTGACCAATGAGATTTAATTAGTCTTCCCCGACAATTTGGGTGCTTTTGTCTGCGAGGTTTTTGCCCTGATAGATCACCGCTATATATATATATATATATATCATCAGCTGATGATGATAGCGACCTAGCTCGATGTGGCACGTGCTTTTTTTTCCTTCAATATAGATCGCTTATTCTTATAATCACTCTCTCTGCCTTGGAAATCATGATGGTCGATGATCATATCATTATCAAATGTCGGCGAATCTGCAGAATCTTCATCCAAGGCACTTGGGCATAAATTACAGTTTTAGTTACAAAGCTTTGATCGCATAATTAATGATTTTCGGCACGACATGAAAAAGATTTTATTTCCAAGTAAAGGTCTAACCTTTTCCCTTACCCAACTCATCCTTCTCCAATCATAATTAATAATGGGCAATAAATTGATGACGCGGAAAGAAACTCCAGTGGAATTTCATTACCGACCGATGTTATCCAATACCCATCTGTTTGATTTTCTTTTTCCTTCTTTGAAAGGAATCGTTTCATTTCAGACAAAGGAGAGATGGGAACAGCTCATGCATGTTTTTTGTTTTACATCTTTACACGTAAACCATGCATACATATCGCTAAGGAACAACAACATGTCTAAAGAATCCAAAGAACCCAACCCAAAACTCGCTCTTGTTGCTTTCACCACATAGTACTTACTTCCCCACCCCACAGCCTTTTTTGTTGTCTCCTCTTGCATGCCACCAAACAACCCCCCCCCCCTTTTTTATTCTTGATTTTTATTTATATTTCCCAAAATATCTTGCAATTACCACTAATCAATCTATGTGATTCGATGCACTGAAATCAAGAACATGATTTGATTATCTTTTTTTCAAGTAATAGGTTTTGCATATAAACAAGAACATGTTTTGAAAATTTTCTTGCTTTCAAAGGATGAATCTACAAAACACTCTAGCTTGTTCCTGATAAATAGAAACCATATCATTTTCTTAAAAATCGTAAGGGCTTTTTCTTTTTGTCTCGGGTGATTGATATGTTTGTTTGTTTATTTAGATTTAATTTTAATTTAAGAACAAAATACCTGAAAAAATTGCATTTTCAGATTGTAAGGATGATACGGTGACGTATCACGGATTCCGTTCGTTTAAAATAATCATGGGATAATATAGCTTAGCAGAGCCGATGAACAAGTGAGCCGAGCCATAAAACTCGCGCTCCGTTCTATGGTCGACTTACTCTGGAGTTCCAGGGATACCGGAAGGACCTGGAGACAACTGGGTAAGTGGGTATAGCCGGTGGACCCTCCCGGTTGCGATCTGGATTGAATTTTATGAACATTTTCATTTGCCAAAAACACACAGAAACTAACCCTAGTTAGATTCTAACCCTTCATCAACCCGAGATGGGTTTATTTAAAGACAGAGAATGTGTTAAGCCAGCTTGTTCATGAAAACGAAGCAGCACTCTCTTTCTCTCTCCCCCTCCTTCGGATTCCTCCTCTGTAAATAAATCTCCACGTTCGTCGAAAGAGTCGACTGGCTTAGGTTGTGTTTTTGTTGAGGGCTTCTCTCTCTTCGACTTTGTTTGGTCTCTTGTCTTTGCTTTTGCTGCGTAAGCCTTATTTTTCTTCCCAAAATATGTTCTTTTGTTGATGGGTTCATGTAGAGAAGAAGGTCAAGGGGAGAAGAAACAAGAACAGAGGAAGTGGAAGTGTGTTTGGTCATGATACCCACTTCAGATCTTTGTTGTAATATTTAAATTCAATGGCTAAGAAGTGAATTCATTGGGGATACACCAAAAAAAAAAAAACAGAGCTTTCAGACCATAGAAATTAACTGATCATCTGAGTCGTGAAAGAAGTAATTTTGGTGTTTGGGGATGAAGAGATTACGCAGCTCAGATTCTGTGGGCGGTCTGATCTCCATCTGCCCCTCTACTTCAGCAGGTTCTCATCTCTTTTACTATTTTTCAGACACACCCACGTGATGTTCTTCTTCTCAGACTCCTCCTCCCCTGTTTTCTGCACAATCCTGATTCTTTCAAAACCATACATACAACCCCACTTGGGACGAGATTCCAACAACCATGTGCTTTGATCTTACTGTGCATAATTAATTACTCCTTGTCTGGTTATGGAATGCAGATGAGCAGAGCCCGAGAGGGTACGGGGGAGAGTACCAGGCAATGATCGAGGGTTACGAGGAAGAGGCGACCATAGTGGAGGAATATTCCGGCAACGGCCACGTGGGTCTGTCGGAGAAGAAGAGGAGACTGAGCGTTGACCAGGTTAAAGCACTTGAGAAGAACTTCGAGCTGGAGAACAAGCTCGAACCGGAGAGGAAAGTGAAGCTGGCGCAAGAGCTGGGGCTTCAGCCGCGGCAAGTGGCGGTCTGGTTCCAGAACCGACGCGCTCGGTGGAAGACGAAGCAGCTCGAGAGGGACTACGGCGTTCTCAAAGGACAATACGACGACCTCCGCCTCAGCTTTGACTCCCTCCGCCGCGACAACGACTCTCTTCTCCAAGAGGTCTTTGCTTTTCCGAAAACACTCAAATCGATTAGCCCCAAATCGAAGAATGTTTTCTGATAGTTAATCGATGTGTTTGGGACTGCAGATTGCTAAACTGAAGGCTAAACTCAATGGAGAAGAAGACAACAACGCGACGGAGAGTGATATCTCCGTTAAGGAGGAAGAGATTTCGCTCCCGGAGATGAATCGCAAAACCCTAGAGCAGACGGAACCATCGTCTCCTTCTCCGCTTCTAGAAAATTCCGGCGATCTCAACTACCGGAGCTTCACCGACCTCCGAGATCTCCTCCCACACGCGGCGGCGTCATCCTCCGCTGCCGCTGTGGCCATCGCCGACGCCGGATCGTCGGACAGCAGCGACTCGAGCGCCATCGTGAATGAGGAGAGCAGCTCTTCCGCAGTAGTAGCTCCGGCGGCAGTTTCCGGTGGTAATTTCTTCCAGTTCGTAAAGACGGAGCAGACGGAGGCTTCTTCTCCGAGGAAGAGCCGCCGTCACTCCACTGGTACTCCGCCGCAGATCACTGGACCTGAAAAAAAATCACCGATGAGACTTTGAAAGCAAAGATTCCATGGCTAATTCTCCGATTTCTCTGAAAATGGGAGGTTTCGAGGGGGAAGGCGGAGAGGAGGGTAGAATGGGAATAACAGAGAATAAGGGAGGAAAAGATCTGCGCGGGAATAATTAATTAGGGTAAAATTGTAATTATGCTTGGTCTCTTCGTTTACTGCCCTTGTAATCAAGGACGAGGATTAAGGAACAAAATTAAATCCACGAGGCAGTAAAATTGCAGTAAATGATTTAATCGGAGTATATTATTATTATTATTATTATTATTATTATTATTATTATTATTATTATTATTATTGCTGGCAGTGGCGATGCGGAATCCAAAGTGCTTTGCTTTTAGGGTACGTGTAAGTGGCGCACGTACGTGAAGCGGAGAGCATGGGACATGATTTTCAGTGATTCTGAATGATGAGACCTTCTGACACCGTCAGAAGTTTTCAATGTCTGAACTCGAGGCATTCGAATTCATGACGCAACCCAATAATTAAAAACTTTACTAAATTTTCAAATGTATATATTTATTAGCCAGTATGATATTTACTTATCCATTTCTATTTCTTTTTTTTTAATTCGATCTTCCCAACGGTAATGTTAAGTAGCAAAGCCGTCCGTAACAATGTCATATACATATGAGCTACTGTTAAATTTATAATATGCTTTTTCATTGTGTAATGCCAAATTGGACAGATGATGGGGGCCCACACTGTGCGGTGGCCCACGTTCCCATGTGATATGGGGCCCAAAACGCATCAAACTCGTGTCGTTTTCGTCATACCCATTTGTCACTATCGCCGTTTGGATTTTTACAATCGCATGAAAGCTGGAGGAGGATAGCCACGTGTACAGACCCTCCTTCTTAGCCCTTCGATTGTCGACACTTCACCTACTCGTAGCCGTCCATTTCACCACTTTATTCACCCACTTATATTCCGCCACGTCACCCAATGTATTATTTTAAATATATATATATATATGTATGTATATTAGTATATATGCTTTTATATCTCTTTTGTTCAGGTGGCCAGCACTTAGGGTTTGTAACTTTGTGTGCTATGCTTTCTCTCGGCAAAGAATAAATATAATAGCCAATGGTTTTCAGGATCTTTATGAATGATGATCCTTCATGCATATTTATGGAGAACAAAAGCATGCCCACTTTTGTTATTGTGTAATGAATGCCTTATATATGTCTTTGAAATTTAATAATGACCATCATCTCTCATTGTGTTATTATATAATTTCCTGAAAACCCAATATTTATATTTGAAATTTAATTTTACAGTGGATATGCTTTCTTATTAAAAAAAAATTATTAATTAAGGTTAAACTAAAAGCATAGCATTCAGTCATTGAAAATAAAATTTTCAACGAAAAGAATCTGTTAATTTTATATATGATTTTGTTGAGAAGACCTTATCCTGGAACTTTTTCTATTATTGCGTACGAAGAAAATCAATTCCCTAAATTATTATTATTATAATTAATTGATCTGTTGTATTATCACTTTATATATGCTGCAATCATTTTTAAATTGTAAATGACCCTTTTTTTATCTTTTATTTTCCAAAATTGCCCACCCTTTCAGGTCCAGTTGTAGAAAATAAAATACACACTTGAAAGCATTGTTATTGTATTTTAATCAGATGGTGAAAGACCTTCCTTTTCAACACACACACACATATATCTATATATTAAAAATATATTGTCATTTATAGAATAATATGCCATTTTTTTTAATAATACCCAAAGATATATATCAACTACATTCAAGCACATCTAATTTTAAATTATGAAATAATTACCAATAAAAAATACTAGATGTGTCTGTTTACATAATTCTCTTTCAAAATTTTGATTTTGGAAGTTTTAGTGTATTGTAAACCTATAAAAGGAAAATTATAAACAAAAATACATTAGAAAACCTATAAACAAATGCAATTTTCATAGTAACAGTAGTTCAGCAATTGATTGGAACTTTTATGCCATTTAATGCTTGACGAACTTTGGACATTTCTAATCAAATAATTTCACTTTTGTTATTACATAATTCCGGTATAATAACATTTTCCAGTCAAACTAAAAATAAATACGAAAAAATGGTTTTATATATATGAGTTAATTTCAACAACGAAATATGATTAATAACAAATTTGTTGTGTAATACGAACTAATAAATGAATTAGGAAATGATTAGTTATAATTTTGTGTATAAATGCAGAATGAATTTTGTTCCGTTGATGCCATCACTGAACGGAACCGTCAAGGGGACAGCTTGTACGGTTCGCGCCGGCTCGATTTGGTTTTAGTGACATTTACGGACTTTTGTCTTTGGCCACATGACACGCGTCGGTTAAGATGTGGTCCTGCAGAAGTTCGAGTCAGCAATTAGTAGGGCCCACCCTGCAATTTAAAAGTCAAAAAATTCGGCCCTGATAACCATTTTTCTCCCGAGTATATCCAAAAAATAGATCTAAGTTTGTTAATTTTTACAAAACAATAAAATTATTATTTTTAAATCTAAATACTGATATAATATATCGATATCCTATATAATAAATCGATTATATTTAATATTTTATCATCTATATATCACTATATCGATATATTATATCATCGATTGATTTTAAAATAATAATTATTATAAAATTTAAATTTATTTATAATTTAAAAATTAAATTGATATTTTATTTGATAAAAAACAAAATTTATATTTATTTTATAAATTTAAATACATTTTTATACCATACAAGAAAATGATCTATATCTCAACACACACACACACATATATATATATATATATATATATATATATATATATATATATATATAAGCTAATCGTATCAGTGGGTTAAAAAAAAAGAAGATTCCTGTAAACCGTAAAATCAAAAAAATCTGACAACTATCTTTAATTTGTTTATATGTATATACATCTACATGTATATAAAGAGATCATTGATGTATATATACTATGCTCCCCAGTTTATTAATTATGCATAAGCCTAATGAATTATATAATGATAAAAGCAGAGGTAATAGAATTTAAGGGAAATGAAGCATTACTTTTCCACAAACACATATTAAATAACAAAAAAAAAAAAATTGAATGCTTCTGATGCATCGAACATAGGCATAGCTTCACACGACATATAAACGATTTTAACATTTTAAAAATAAAAATAAAACATAGAAATATTTGTAAAATACATGTAAAAAAAATACTCAAGATATAACATAGATGAAAAAAAAAATGCTTCCGGATCCAGGAAGATGTAGGTTGGTCCAAAGGTACAGGTGAACTTCCTGGTTTGACAAAAAAAAAATATAGATGAAAAATTTGTAGTAAACGCATTAAAGAAACTATTTAGAATTTAGTTAATGCAATAATGAAAGAATTTAATTTATGTATCTATCGCATTTTATGCAACAAAAAAGTCAATTTATGTATATATAATTATATGTGATAAGATGTATGGTGGGCCCATAATCAATGGGTATCCGCTCCGCACACGCCACGCCACGCCACGCCAAGATGGATGAATCTTTTCCTAGCCGTCGATTTTTGTTTGACTTTTTCTATCCTTCTTAATTATTTATTTTTTGGTTCAAATTTTTTTTATGGAACAAATTAGTGTAGAGAAAAGAAACATCCATCGTATAAGATATTAATAACGTCGTTGATAATCCATTATATATATATATATATATATATATGTGTGTGCGTATAGATTGCTCATATAATATATACATATATGAAAATGTGTAAATGCACTAGAACATGAGTTTTGGACTGATAGCTATGTATGTAATTAGGACAAAATCTTGAGATTATTATAAGAGATGTTATATTATATATAAATTACGGTTTTATATGTATTGGAGGATGGATAGACGGAATTAGTTGCCAAGTAGACGTATAAGGAGAGACACGACACTCTCTTTATGTCAAATTCTTGAGACTATTCTTTTGACAAATAACGTAGACAACAAAGTTGCATTAAAAATAAATAAAAAAAAAACGAGAAATGCAACTTGCAGATATTCCACGTGGCATTCCCTTGACCAATGTGACTTTCACAAAGTCTATAATCGGATGTTATAAGTGGAGAGCCATACTAATCTCAGGACTAAAATAAATCGGGTGATTAAAATTAAACTTTTTTTTTCAATTTAAAATTCGAATTCAGGATAGAAACGTTCTGTATCCATATTTCACTGGCTGAACTGTTCAAATCGAATATTTATCATATCACTTTTAGTTCGTGTGTGTATATATATATTATCGTTTTAACATTTTAACACGATCACTTCAAAGTACATAAAATCAACATTTATGTAACGCACTCTATTCGAAAAATCTGAAATAAATGGGAGAAATCTATAAAATTGTAACGATCAAATGTGAAAGTAGACGCGTTCATTTAAAAAACAAGCTTGGTAAGGTATTTGCTATATGATAATGGGTTGGGCTGGAGAGAAGTTAAATGGGCCTAAAGGACGCCCAATTGTATATAAAGACTAGGCAGAGCCTTATCTATAAATGGGCCATCTGGCTCTAATAAATGGGCCATCTGGCCCTAATTAGACTCAACAGTCAACAGCAAAGGATATTGAATATAAATATATGTAAAAAAAATAAGGTGAAAAAACCCAAGATATATATCTCGGCCCAAAAGAAAATAATAAAATTTTAGACTGAATTTCTATTATCGAAAACTATAGAACTACAAAATTTGTATTTAAATTAATTAAATATCCACACACACGAGATTTTTGATAGAAATCGATGCCTTCATTAAATTTGAAACTGTGGATCCTTTTTTTCGTATGAATTTTCTTCTCTGATAGAAAACCAGCTTAATAGGGTTCTAAGTATGAGTTTCAATGGCGTGTTAAACGGGCCGGTTAAACCCGCACTCAACCCAAAAGTTTCGGATTTGGATTTAGATCGGTTCAAACATTTTCGGGTCTACAGGATCAAATTTGAAATCCGGTCTTGTAGAACTCGGATCGAGTCGGATTACAATATGAATCGAGACATTTTTTTACATTTATTTTTAAAAAATAAATTAAAATTTTGGTTCAACCCAAAATTCGATTTGAATTCCACTTAAAAATCCAATTTTTTCAGATCTATAAATTTAAATTAAAAACCCGAAATTTTTCGGATGAATTCGGAACTTTATATTTCGGATTAAATTGACACACGTGCACGGGTGGGGATTATTATGATAGTAAATATCTGGATGAAATTTCACGGAGTAAGATGGAGTTTTAACACGTATGTGCCAAGTGTGTTCAATAATTACACCGTGGCGATCCTCGTCACTTATTAAATCTTCGATATTGACCGTTGATTTGATTTTTAATCAGTAAATATTGCAACTTTATTGGCCGTCCGATTAAGATACCAAAGAAACACAACCAACGCCAACCCTTCTTTCCTTCCTGTCCAATAAATACCACCTCATAGGCATAAGGTTTTCGAGCTTTGAAGTAGACGAGGTATGCTTGGAGTTTTTTTTTTAATTTTTGTTTTTGCTTATGATCTCAATATCTCTTTTTTAGATTCATCGTCCTTTGGGGAGCTTTCCCCTCAATTTGAAGTAGCTCGATGCTTGTTGTGGGTTGTCTGATTCGGTGATCGGTTGTTATTCATTCGGTCATTGTTCATCGTAAAGTTTTGGGTTTGCGCCCTTCGTCAATCTATGTATCTATACGCATTGTTCTTCGGTGTTTGATAATTAGGGTTCTATGCAATGCCTTTGTAACTTGGTTAGGGTTTGCGTAATTTTGTCTCTATTGCTTATCCGGTATGGAGATTTTCAATCTATGTATATATAGGCATTGTTCTACGGTGTTTGATAATTAGGGTTCTGGGCGATGTCTTCTAACTTGGTAATCTTGGCACTACTGTTTCTCTGGCATGTAGATGGTCTGATGCCGGATTTCTATATTGATTTGTGGTACTTGTATATTGATTTGTGCAACTAAGAAACTGATATGATGTTCGTTTGGGTAATGAGCAGATGGCACGTACTAAGCAAACAGCTCGTAAATCCACTGGAGGAAAAGCCCCTAGGAAGCAACTTGCCACTAAGGTATTTGATTGCTTTCACCAATTGCGTTGTTGATTTTTATGTGTTTTTTTGTGCGATTTCTTCTGTATCGGCTACATTTGATTTGATTATTCAATTAGGCTGCACGCAAGTCTGCGCCAACTACTGGAGGAGTCAAGAAGCCTCATCGCTATCGTCCTGGAACTGTCGCCCTACGGTATGTAACTCCTGTCTCAGCATCTCATTGCTGTATTAAGTTGCGTATTGGCACTTATTCATGCTATCCATTGTTTGGTGGGCAGTGAGATCCGTAAGTACCAGAAGAGTACTGAGTTGCTGATCAGGAAACTGCCGTTCCAGAGGCTTGTTCGTGAGATTGCCCAGGATTTCAAGGTGACCTGTCTTTGCTTTCTTATCGAACAACTCCTGGAGTAGGCTATCTATGTATTCACATTAGACTAATGGTGTGAACTGTCACGTGTGTTCTTGTGGTTGCAGACCGACTTGCGTTTCCAGAGCCATGCGGTGCTGGCACTGCAGGAAGCGGCAGAGGCGTATTTGGTGGGTCTGTTTGAGGACACTAACCTTTGTGCCATCCACGCCAAGCGTGTAACTATTATGCCTAAGGATATCCAGCTTGCTCGTCGTATCAGGGGTGAGCGTGCTTGATCGAATCAGCCCATTTCTCTGACATGTGCTGTGATGGAGGAAATGAAGTGGTGTGTGTGACTAGCAATAGGGGTTATTATAGGTGTGGTGTTCTTGACCATATGTTTGTGTTTTTTGTGGAAAGTGTAGTTTTTTTTTAAAGTGGTGTTGCCACCTGTCCGTGACACTCTCTGTTGATTTTCAATGATCGAGTCCCTCATCGAGTCTATTGTTCTTTGATGTGGAGGAGTCTCGGTTCAATCTGCCATTGTTCCAAGGGAAGGAATGGGTTCTGGTTTTGTTCTGAGGCTGATAATCTTGGCCTCATAAATCATTTACAGACCTAAGCCGGGTCCCAAAACCCATGTAGATATTCGATGTAGGGCCATTATAGTTTGATTATGTATCTGTTTGCAATTCCATATCAAAAGGCAAAGCCGCCATTAGTGGTAGAGGATCTACAATCGATTGAGGAGGTTCTTGAGCTGAGGACCTGAGGTCGCCAACATCGGCCTCAAAATGTTTGTAAGTACTTTTTCATCACTATTCAGTCAATTGTCCGAATAACACAGTGGAGAAAAGACGATGCTCCCATAAAAAGATGGATGGCCCCCATATGTAAAATTTTGTAAAAGCGCTATGAATGGCCCATGCAGGTTTCGAACCTGCGACCTTCGCGTTATTAGCGCGACGCTCTAACCAACTGAGCTAATAGGCCTGTTGATAACCTTTTTTTATATACTCTAGACATCCTTCAATTCTTAGAAAACGACAAACTGTACAATGGCCATATGTTCCACATGTATATTTGATGCAGAGCTTAACAATAGCTGTCCAAACTCCAAAGGTGCAATGAGTTCACCGGCGTTTATGAACCATTAACGTATCAAGAATCCGAGCTGTTATGGGCGTTCGAGGAAATCATTCTAAAGTATTGATGCATAACAAAATTCTTAGGGTTAAAAGAGTAACAACATACACCACAATTGCATCAGAAGGCTTAACTCGACTCGGGCTGCGATTTCTTCTCTTGTTCGGTAGGAGGCGCCTCTTTTATTTCCGGTTTCTCGTCTTCTTGTTTAGAAGGGACACACGGTCTCCATACCGTCTCCCTCCCTATATCCATGAGTGCTATTCCCTTGACCGTTAACTCCGCTCTAATCTGATCACTTCTCTCAAACTCCTTGTTCTTCCGAGCTCTTGTCCTCTCCTCGATCATACGTGATATGTCTTCTTCCTCCAGTCCTGCCCTTACCAGTGCCTTCTGCCTCAACTCCTTCAGAAACTGCGCAACCACAAGGCAAATGTTGTCACTCCACACCACAGGGATTCCGGGAGTTTTCTTCACAACCCAAAGCTACAACACTGTGACAATAGGCATTATTACCTCGTCATAGCTGAGGTTAGACAGCAGACCGAGGACATCCAGAATCTCTCTCGCTGTTTTTTCAACTTCGGTGAGGGACAGAATCAGTGACATGCGCTGCTTCTGTTGCGTTTTCTGAAAAATTTTTAAAAGGCAGAAGAAAGACTGAACAGGCCATACTTCTATACACACAATACGCAGAAGTTGCTGTTTCAGAATAGATGGGGAAAGAAAAGGGATGGGGTGCAACTGAAGAAATTTTGGAAAGCAAATACCTTGAGCTTGCCCAGTGAACTGTTGATGAATTTCAATACATCTTGGAAAGCACCCGTAAGTATATGAGCCGTGTTCAAGTCATCTGACATTTTACCTTCAAACTCGCTTTTTAGCTTGTCCATGATGTCTTTTGCTTCTGAAGTTAGTCGAGCCTTTCCCCCATCTTCAGACATGGCTTCTCGATATGGCAACAGAGCATCAACAAGATCTTGTAAAGTCTAACAAAACGAAGAGATGTTACGTTATAAATCCGAAACTTAAACTTTTCATAACAAATCCCTTATCTTTTATTTCATTGTTCTTTCGTAAACCATAATAAATGTAACCAAGAAAGTTGCTAATGGGATCGTAAAAAAAAACACGACAACATTTTCAAACTTGATATTAAAAGTTTGATGAAAAAGCACGACACCTGGTAAATATAATACAAAGCATCCGATGAACTCTCCAGCTGCCAGAGAGAATAATTTAGAGGAGACCGATACTGAACACTAATCAAGAAGTGTCTCAGCGCCAGAGGATGGTACCTAGCAGTGATCTACAGGAAAAGAAACAGTAACATCAAATGTGAAAGACAAAAAGCTGATAATTCTGATGTCTTTGCAATTGCCAAAAGAATCTATTCAGGCTTAGTCTCAAACAGAAGGATCTTACATCTCGAATTGTGAAAAAATTGCCCAATGATTTTGACATCTTCTCGTTATTGTTAGTGACGTGCCCGTTATGCAACCAGTAAGCCACACCACTGTTCTCACAAGCGGCACAAGATTGTGCAATCTCATTCTCATGATGAGGAAAGATCAGATCTATGCCACCACCATGAATGTCAAATCTTGGAGACAGATAATGGGCACTCATTGCACTACATTCTATGTGCCACCCAGGTCTTCCCAGACCCCAAGGACTCTCCCAGTGTGGCTCACCAGGTTTTGCAGCCTGCATTGGTTACTAGATATAAGTACCTGCCTTATCCATCAGTGAACAATTACAGCTCCAAGCCTCGATGTACTGTCTCAGAGAAAAGGTAAACAAAAAATCCGATTTTAGACCTTCCATAGGGCAAAGTCGGCTGGGTTGCGCTTCCTTGAGTCAACAGCAACACGTTCACCAGCTCTGGTATGCTCCAACTTTTGTCCAGATAATTGGCCATACTTTGGTGACTTATCAACAGAGAAGAACACATCACCATCCACTACATACCCACAATCTTTCTCTATGATCTGAAACAAACAAGCACACAGATCATACACCTCATCTACGGGTTTAACCTTATTTATTACTCTGATCATTATCCTATATCACATCTTTCAATGATTCAAAGGGACAATATAAGAAGCACAAAGAAGATACCAAGATAGTTGATCAAGCTGATAGACCTTTTCTATCATCTCTATGATCTGTTCCATATGGCTGCTGACACAAGGCTGGTGGGTGGGAAGAAGGCATTGAAGAGCACCCATATCAATAAGATATTCTTCACAATATCTATTGCTCAAATCTAACGGGTTTTCCCCACGCTCATTAGCACGTTTGATTATCTGTCATAGGTCCAGAATCCAGAAGTTAGAATACAACGAAATCCAAAATAAGCAAAAACTTGTGAACTTTGAGTCCCAAACAAATAAGTCAATTGGTTGCCAATGAAGACCAGGAGGAAAAAAATACAGTGCCTAAAGGGAAAAGGGCCTTCACTTCAGGTCTTCTGCAAACATTTGAAACAGCTAAATCTCGACTATAACTTACAAAACACAAAAGTAAGATGATGATCATTGTAAACATGTTCATCGCAACTACGAGCTATCCCAATTACAAAAACTGAGAATTCAATCAGAAGGTCATACCTTGTCATCAACATCTGTAAAATTCCGGACATATGTAACTTCATAGCCCAAATGCAGTAAGTATCTGCACAACCGGTAAAAATACTATAAACGCTACAAAGTCCAAGAGAGCTCCTTGAACCAAAATTCACTGTTTTTATTTATCTGCACATGATTTTATCCCATATGGAGTAATTAAAATTCTCTACTTGTCTTGTTAAATTCAAAACCAAAAAAAGCAAGTTGCATTTATAATCACAAATATTTCATCGCAGCACAAAAGGACACAATTTCCCCTCAAAGAATCCTGCCGTAAATCACCGTAAAAACTGAGGAACAACAATTTCCTCAGAAGCACACAAACCCCCAATCGATGCAGATCCAGAGAGTTGAAAAAGCGAGAAGAAACGGACCTGTAAAGGATGTCGAAGGAAACAGCTGCACGAGCGTGGCCGAGATGGCTGAAATCGTAGGCGGTGATACCACAGACGTACATGCCGATTTTACCGGGCTCGATCGGGTTGAAAACCTCCTTCTGCTGCGTCATCGAATTGTACACCTTCAACTCCACCTTGTTTGCATCCATCTCCGCCGCCGACGACGACATAACAGGTCGACCGCTGGAGATCCGCCTCGTCCAAATACACTCCGCAAAAAAAGCAACGTTACGTAGCGCCTGTGAAATGTGTACCTTCCGAAAACCCTAATTCTGAAACGCAAAGAGAGTGGAGGCCGATACCCTGTTCGCCGGCGTATTTCGGTTCCCGTGGAGCTCAAGTGAACGATGGAGAACGAAAGAAGAAAAGAATAGAATGGATCTCAGATTTAGGGGTTTCGGGCTTGGGCCGGCCCGAAATTTGTTTGAGCCTACAAAACTAAACCCGAAACTCGGTCCTAAACCTGAGAAAAAATCAGAGGTGGCGCTTTCTTAACACGATCTAATGGGAAATTTTACTCAAATGACCCACTTGGGTCGCAGCAATTTCACGGTACACCACCAAAAAAAAATAAATTTTTTTTTTTTAACTTTTAATCCATTTTTTGGTTGAAAAAGTCCGAAATACCATTTTTTTCATTTTTTTACGATCTTATTACGACTAATATATAACTGATATACAACTAAAATAAGAAGTAGTTATAATCATATAGAGATAAAAGTCTCAAATAAAACGTAGTTTTTTTAAAATTCGACAGATGATTTTTTTGCCACCTTTTTTAAAATCAATTGTAACTATATTTAGAATTAATTACGAAGTCGTAATAACGAAGTTGTTTTCGAACGAACAAATATCACATATTATTAAGGGTATTTTCGTCTTTCCAAAAAAAATTAATTCCTTATGTTTTGGGTGGTGTACGCGTGGAATTGCCATCTTTCTAATCTCTAAGCCGACAAATGGGAATATTACTCAAATAACCCACTTGGGTCGCAGCAATTTCAGTGTACACCACCGAAAAAAAAAATTTCAATTTTAACCCACTTTTCGGATGGAAAAGTCCGAAATACCCTTTTCGTTTTATTTTTTACGACCTTATTACGACTAATATATAACTGATATACCACTAAAATAAGATAGATGATTTTTTTGCAACCTTTTTTAGAATCAATTGTAACTATATTTAGAATTAATTACGAAGTCGTAATAACGAAGTTGTTTTCGGACGGATAAAAATCGCGTATTCATTAAGGGTAATTTCGTCTTTTCACACACAAAAAAAATGTTATGTTTTTTCTGGTGTACACGTGAAAGTGAAATAGGGAATATTACCCAAATAACCCATTTGGATCGCAGCAATTTCAGGGTACACCACCAAAAAAAAAAAAATTCAATTTTAACCCACTTTTCGGTTGAAAAAGTCCAAAATACCCTTTTCGTTTTATTTTTTGCGACCTTTTTGCTACTAACATATAACTGATATACAACTAAAATAAGACGGATGATTTTTTTTGCCATTTGTTTGTAACTATATTTAGAATTAATTACGAAGTCGTAATAACGAAGTTGTTTTTGAACGGATAAATATCGCGATTTATTAAGGGTAATTTCGTCTTTTTACGGAGAAAAAAATATGTTATGTTTTTTGTGGTGTACAGGTGAAATAGATGCGACCCAAGTGGCTCATTTGAGTGAAGAACCCCGTGAAATAGGTGCGACACATCTGGGTGATTTGAGTAAAATTCCCCCGACAAATCCAAGCAAGAACGGATCTAGATCTTCACAATCAATCCAACACATAACTAAAACAATACAAGCTTGTGCAGAAACAAGACAAAACTCCATCTACCTGTGATAAGCATCCCCAGAACCAGAAGAGAATCAAGAGATACTTATATATAGTCTAATAAAAAAGGAGGTTACTTTACTTGAGCAAGTGGGTTTGCTGGGAGGCCGCATGACTGTAACCCAGAAAACAAAGAAGGGAGACGCAGGCGAGAGATCAGAGAAAGGAGAAAGGAGATCGAGGCTCTCTAGAAGCAGAGCGAGAGTGGATCGGACCAGAGAAAGGAAAAAGACGCAGGCGAGAGAGGCTCGGACCAGAGAAAGAGAAGAAGGGAAGCAGGAGGATTCAGGCAAATGAGAGAAGCTCGGATCGAGAGAAAGGAGAAGAAAGTCGCCGTCCAGATCGAGAATATGTCTGAACAAGAGAGATTGAGTTGTCAGAGTCAAAGCCTCTAGATGGAAAAGAGGTTTCTGAAACCCTAAAAACAGCAATCAGGGGTGAACGAAAGCAATCAAGTAAAAGAGGTAGGGAAGAACCCTAGGCGGCGACAAAATACCCTATAATTTGGGGGGGTTATCAGCAAATCGAAAGATTAGGAAACCTGTCATGGATGAAAGACGCTAATTGTCAAGCTATTATGTCGTAGTATGGGACACGGCTGCCTGCTTAGAAGGCTGGAGGATAAAATGGATATCATTGCCCTCGATAATAATGGTTTCTCCCTGTTAAGTTCCAAAATTTCGTAGATGTGTAGATCATAAACATCTAGCAACAAGGGGTGGTGGCGCAGTTGGCTAGCGCGTAGGTCTCATAGCTTCTGAGTGATCCTGAGGTCGAGAGTTCGAGCCTCTCTCACCCCAAACTTTTTTTCCTTAATAGATTAAAGTAGTTATTGGTATGTAAACATTATTAATACTCTGTGCTTCACTGAAAATAGAGATTATCTAAAACTATATTTTGATTAACTCAATTCCATTACGAGTTGTGCTGATTTTTTAAATAACGAAGATGATAATTATACCGTCTAAATTAGTAAGAATTATTTTTCTATATTTTAGACTTGGAATATGAATTTGATATTTTTTACTAAATTCAATTAACTTATTAGAATAAAACAGCATATACGATTAATGGTTTTAGGAATAATTCAACAAGTAAAAGATATTTAATTATGTGAAATAAGTAGAGTATATATTCTATTAGAGGAAAATTTTACAAGGGATCAAATGCTCGATTGAACGTGGATGAAAGCTTGCCGATGTTATATTATCACAATTTTATCAAGCGCAGGAGACCAAAAATTATTAAACCAAATAAACTTTTATATAATACACACACATGCTCGCCGTCTTAGTTGGCCGACGGGTAAAGATGCTGTGCCAACCTCGGCTCACCGACCATTACCAAGGGCTTAGCCAAGAACAAGTCATGGCTCGACTCCACCAACTCGACACGTGTCTCACCCTCCGGCAGCTTCCACGTGAAACCCTGAAGAACCCTCGCCAACAACATGGTGGTTATGACCGTTCCGAGCGCCGGAGCCGCGCAGCCTCGTCGACCGGTGCTAAACGATATGAACCTGAGGTCGTTCTCTATCAACGTCACCTCAGAACACTCGTTCATGTGTCTCTCCGGCTTGAAGCTAAGTGGGTCGGACCAAACTTTAGGGTTTCGGCCGAGTCCGTACCGGCTGAGTAAGACTTGGCTTCCCTTCGGGACGTGGAAACCCGCAACCGTCGTGTCGGAGAGCGCGACATGTGGGAGGTTAAAGGCCGCGACCGGATGGAGACGGAAAGATTCACGGAGACAGGCTTTGACGTAGTTTAGTTTCGGGATGTCGGATTCTTGCACGAGCCTGTCCTTGCCCACGACCATGTCGATCTCTTCCATGGCCTTTTTGAGGATCTCCGGTTTGTTAACCATCTCAGCCATCGTCCATTCCACAGCGTTCGATGGGTTGTCAGGCGCCGCCATTACAAGCTCCTGTAGATCGATTTTTGGGATCTAGTTTAGTGATTTTTCCAATGACCTTCGTATGCATGGGCCATGAGAAATACAAATTCTATGGACTATATAACCATACCACTAACAACAAGTTGCATGTTTAAAACAAAAAATTGCTTTATCCCCTTTGATCATGTATATAATATTTTTCATTTATATATATGAAGAACTTGGCACCAAAAGCTAAAGACCACTCTATGCGTGTATATACGTATAAAAATCGTATATTTACCTTGAGTGTGGGTTTGATTTCATCTGGGGTAAGCAATGGCTTCCCATCTTCATCCTTCAAAGAGATGAAGACATCGAGAAAGTCTTCAACTTGAGTTCTCTCCCCTTCTCTCCACATCTTAATCCTCTCGTCCACGATAGGGTCGTGGTATTTGTCCATAACAGCACTCGCCCTTCTCATGATCTTCTCGTGACCGTTCAAATCGAGCCCGGTTAACCACGGAAGAAAATCCGATATGCAGAACGCAAACGTAAAACCGAGCCCATCAAACATCGCCTCCATGTGCTCGATGTCCTCAGCCGTCGGTCCACCGTCTTCGGCCATATTTCCCAGCCCGAACGTCCTCGTTCCGAAGAAAAGTTTCTTGATCACGTTTCCACAGTAGTGTCTACTCACAAAACGGAAATCGATCGGGTTCGAGTTCTTGACCATGTTGTAGAGCCAAGCCGTCAAGTGGTCAGTTTCCTCGGCTCTCTTGTCGTGAAGCCACCTGTGCCTCGCCGGACAGACGATCTCCGTCATCACTACTCTCCTCATTTTCTTGAACTGTTCCCCGAACGGCGTAATCACGCACGTCTTGTAGCCGTTGGAGAGAACCTTCTGAGCGTAAGAGAGGGGTCTGGAGGCAAAGATCGCGTCCTGTTGCTTGAACATCTCACGAGCGATCTGAGGGCACGTGACCGGGATCACGTAAGTGTTCCCGAGCCGAATGCACGCGATCTCGGTGTTGAGTTGGTTCATGAGGCCGTGGAGCCACCGGAAAACGGGACGGCGGTTGAGCATAGCCGGAACCATACCGACGATCGGCCATCCGGTGGGTCCCGGCGGCAGGGGAAGTTTCTCGGATCCTTTCTGTGGAGATTTCAGTTTCTTGAATAACATCACCAAAACTATCAACACAAGGGCTTGGGCTGTGGATAGGACATAGTTGTTCCCAAACGACGTCGTGTTTGTCCAATACATATCGGAAATCTTTTTTTTTTTTTTTTTGCCCAGAGATATTGAAGGAGAACAAGAAGAAAACAATAATGATAATCTTGTGTTCTTGTCTATGCATGCCCCTCGCCTTCCTATTTATAACGTTTCCATTCAATGTTCTTGAAGGACTAAAATGCCCCCAGTAGTTTTGGACGAAGAATAGAGGAAAGACCGGTTTGGTCTTTTTTGTACACTAAGTGGAAATTTAGTCCATCCAAAACTATGCGAGAGAGATGATATGTATTACTAATCGTAATAGTGTCAGAGGATATATACATACATATATATGTGTGTGAGAGAGAGAAATTAACATTTTAAAATGTTTTTGTTGGTGACCTGCCAAAATCCAAATCCCTCGTGTTATATATGCATATTTATAAACCATAAATAATATCTAACTGCTGTAGGAGTGTAAGAACTATATATTAAAATCATAGAATTATGATTCACCATTATAGTAGTTAGCTAGTGAATCATGTTAGAAGATTATTTTGTTGTTTTTTTATTATTAGAATGGTTTCCGAATCTTCGATCCAACCATATATGAGACCAATTTTTGTATATGGATTATTTTGGTTTAGAAATTACATTTCTTTTCCATAAATGGAATCGAATCCAAAATTTTGAAAGTGATTTTATCACCTTTCAACCACTTAACTATCAACTGTTGGATTATATGATTATTTTGTAGCATTCGAATGTTAATAAATCTACGCAAAGGTACTTACTAATCAATATATCAATTATATAAAGATTATTATTCCGGCTCGTGGAGTTAGACGTGGGGTGGGAGACGGAGAGAAGTGACTGACGGAGTCAGCGGACATAATACGACGCTGTTTTAAGACGGATGACGGAGTTTTCCGACCAAGGAAAAAGCAGTTGCGCTTCTCTATGTGCACGTTTTCACGTGTCTTTTTAATTTCCTCTCTCATGAGATATGCAAGTTTAATATTGAAAAATATGAAGAGTTTTAGTTGCTATATAGTTTATATATTAATTTATTTTCTATTTAAATTAGATTTACATATTGGTATCATTATTATAACAACTAAAAATTCTATCAAAAGGAAACTAAGTTTTATATTTAAACTCATTCAATCATTAAAAATATAATAAAGTTTTGTTTTTTGCAAAAAATAAAAATAATATATGCTTTCGAAACTTTAATAATACAAAATGTGGAACAATATCCAAAGGATGACAGATTTATTGGAGAGTGGAATCGAACTCATGCTCTTTTGGAGAATCATGAACCCTTTAACCACTGCACTAAGTCCCGAAGGGCTTATGCATATATAGTTGTAGACATTCATGCTTAAATTAAGGTGCTCTCTGTCTTTGGTTGGAATCCAAGTGGCACGCGGTGAATGAAGAAACTATGCATTGCATTTATACACATGTTATATATAGTTTATTTATGTAGATACAAATTACTCGCTACCAAACTTATAGTTTTATATCACCAAAACCCTGCGGAACTTGATCAACAGTGGGATCACAGGGCCCCAGAACTCGTATTTTTTTTTTGTTTTCCTCATAAATTTTATATAATTTTATGTAAAATTAGTATATTACCCCCAATGAAATTAAATTTTTACTTATAAACTTGTATATACATTAGTGAACCCTTTGATAAAATGTTTTGGGTCCGCATGTTCCGTATATATACTAACATGTTTACGAGTAACCACCCAACAGTTGGTGGTCCAGTGGGTGAGAGGTGACAAAGTCATCCTCAAGATCTTGGGTTCAATTCCACTGGTGGGAAGGATGTAATTTATGGACTAAAATGATCCATATACAAAGGCTGGTACCGGGTTTAGGGTGGATGTAATCGGACCTTCGGCCCGAGGAACCATCCTGGTTATAAAAAAAAAATGTTTACGAGGAACCTTTGAAAGTCAGGAGGAGGGCCGCGTTGGTGCTCCATTAGTAAATATTCATGCGTGCATATATGCGATAGAAAGTGTAATAAAACAAAACAAAACGAATAAATTATACACGCTAAATCGTACAAAAACCCAAACTCGTGTTGAATTTCAGTAATAAATTAACATATCATTATAGAACACGATCCGATTATATATCAGAATATGATTCGTTATGTATATATGAAGTTTCAACGTAGGTATAAATGCGCATCGCACCACTACCGAATCAATCGTGCACATATGCATATATATAAGAAAAAGACAGTACTAAAATAAATATGGAGATTTTGTTATAGTAACGTGTTGTTAATCTCTTATACATGTCTCAGATTTTTAAAATTGTAAAATTTTATTTTTATACTTTATTTTCAGGGGTTTAGATTTTAATTCATTTTTAAATTTAAAATTTAATTTATAATGTAATAATTTAAAATATTAATTTTGTAAGAAAAATAGTTGTGTTATAATTTTATATTTTTTTAGTAAATATGAATGGCAAAAAAAGTTCGTAGAAATTAAAGTTTGTGGACCTTTTTGTTTTGTCTGTTTTGTTTTGCCAACTACCGAGGTAGATATGTATGCACAATTACAATATAATTTGCCCAATGTATATGCATATATGTCCATGCATGTATGTCCATGCATGCATGCATGATGAATGAAAACGTGCTTCAACTACCATATCCCACCTGTCGAATTCCTCACCAAACTAATTTGTACGTGCAATTTGCTCTAATCACAAAAAAAAAAAAAATCTAACGAAATTTGTCCACCTAGGATTCGGTGAAAAGATGTCTAAGTTTTCGCTTTTTGTAACAAAAAAATATCATATGATCATGTTTTATAATATACGACCGATTATATAAGAGAATGTATTGACGACTGTATTTAATATATCACCAAATTATCCAAGTTTGGATGAATTAAGAGTAAAGGAATATATAAAATATGTTTTTATCTCGAATTTAAATCTAAATGTGAAAAAAAATTATCCGAACTTTTTTTTTTATTTTTTAAGAGATATAATTAAACAAAAAATTAGATAAATTTTCGAATTATAAAAAAAATACCATGAAATTGGTTGTTAGATTATTTGTTGATTGTGTCTGTTATTTTTATTTACTAAAATATATATGTTTTTACCGAGTAGGAAGCGTTTTATTTAGCATTCTCCGATTGAGCCGGCGGTCATGGTTGTAACACATAGGAATAGGCACTTCCTTTTTTTTTTTTTAGATTTTTGAATTTTAGACAATAAATTATCTACATTTATTTTATATATTAAGTTGTACGAACCTCGAAAGATATAAAATTCAGGAAATATCACTTTATCTTACCGCTAAAGGCGACACATATCCAGAAAATAATTTATTTCATTTGTGGAAATACTTATAGAAAACATGATCAATTTACTTACATTGATTTTAGATATTAAATTTGGTAAATAAAATATAACTATAATAATTGGAAACAAAAGACTGTCTAATAATAATTTAACGATACATATAGATATAGGAAGATTATATTACTCCCTTTTTCATTATAGAGAAATCTGAGGAATAGCTAAAACAAGGGGAGAAAAAAGGTTTGAACGGTCAAAGCCGGTGGACCCTCTACGCAAACAAGAGGGTTCATATTTGGGCCGTGATACGGAGCACAGGAGATATGTCAAAACTAACATGGGCCTCTACTAAATCATGAAGCCTCCTTTTTGGGCCCAAATATTGGAGCTTTAATATAATAAAAAAAAATTAAGGCCCAATTTTTTGAACCATGGTGACGAGATATGGCGTCATTATTCAAACCATTTAAAAACCTGTAATAATTCGTTTGATAACTACATTGTTTTTTCAAATGTGAATTGGTTTGTCATCATATTGATAACAACACAGCACTTTTATTATCAATAAAAGAAAATAGCCGAAGTCTGTATACGTGTTGTATAAATCCAACGGTCAAGATTTGCTCAAGAAAACACAAGTTTGAGATTCTCGTGACTAAAAACACACCCCCAACTAGCGATTCATTAACACAGACAAGACAAGACAGGCACACAACACACGTGCGTCGTGGTCGGATAGATATTTTGAAATGCTCTTGCTCTTGGACTAATCAATGGAAACCAAAAATATCTAAACAAAAAGAAATTTACAAAGTCTTATCGTTTTTACTTTTTAAATTAAAATATCCAAAGTCTTATTTTACAAAAATAAAATAAAAAAGGAAGCCACGAAGCAGCCGAAAAACAAAAATAGTATAATAGTAGAAGAAGTGTGGGTGCTCGTCGCCCTAGTCTTAGTTTAGTTCATATATGTTGAGTTAGTACCTACATTACAAACTTCTATCTCGCGTTGAAAGGTTCGGATACAAAGAGAGGGTTCGGTGGGTAAATCTGTAATTCCTTTGGGAGAGTTTGTTATCCAGCTGTTAAGGACGTTGTAAGCTCTGGGTTTTATAACAGAGCATCGTCACTTTCAGTTGGGGTGTGCGTATTCTTTCTTCTTCTTTCAGAAGGGTTTTTAGGGTTCTTTCTTTCGTGATTCTCTCTGGGTAGTATTGTAACCTCTCAATCAAGCATTAGTGGATTGCCAAGCTTCTTGGCCGAGACGTAGGATCCTACAACGATCCGAACTCGTTAATTGGTTGTGTCGTTGTTCTTTTCGGTTCTCAATCCGTCCAGATTCAATCAGCGATTGCATCTCAAGGTTGAAAGCTACAATTGGTATCAGAGCCCCGTTTACGAGGCGTAGGGAGAATAAGAATTCGACTAGATCTTGCAACTTGGATCAGATCAACGAAAGATATCTGATCAGAAATGGCTTCGGGACCTAGTGTGGTGAAGCTCGATGTGGAGAAGTATGATGGAAAAGGTGACTTCTCTCTCTGGAAGGACAAGATTCTAGCCAGTCTGGATATTCTTCAACTAAGCGACACACTTCAAACCGGGTATGTTCTTGAATCTAAAGAAAAATTAGAGGAATCTGAGGAAGTTAGTATGAAAACTGAACCATCTAATAAGAAATTACCAGTAATCCAAGGGAAGATTTCTCTCTCTCACGAGGCTAGACTACAGAAGAGTAAGAGAGTCAGAAATCTCATATTCTTATGCTTAGGTGATCAGATAATGAGAAGGGTAAAGTCTGAACAGCTTGCGGAAGAAATGTGGGTAGCACTATAAAAAGAGTTTGTGCATAAAACAATGCCAAACAAGATGTACATGAAACAACAGCTATACGAATTTAAGATGGAGGACAACAAATCTATGGAGGATAATCTGGATCAGTTTGAAAGACTAGTAGGGAATCTACAAGCTTTACAGATTGAGGTTTCAGAAGAGGATCAGATTATGTACTTGTTGAATTCATTACCAGACAGATACGATTCTTTAAGAGACACTATCAGATTCTCAAGGAAGGATGATATCACCATGGAAGATGTAACCTCAGCAATTTACTCCAAGGAGCTACAATACAGAGCAAAAAACAAGCCAAGTTCAGGTGAAGGTTTGCTGGTAAAAGAGAAGAAAGATAAGAAAAATTCGAAAGGTTACAAAGCTGGGCAAAGCAAGACCAAAGGAAAGCCAAAGAATAAAACTGAAACAGGGTGTTGGTTTTGTGGAAAACCAGGGCACTTCAAGAAAGAGTGCAGAAACAGGAAGAAGTTCCTAGAAGAACAAGGTAAACCTGTTGGGGAAGCTGCTGCAGCTACCGGGAAAGAAACTGAAACTGAAGTACTCACAGTTTCAGAAAGAGAGCCAAAGAAACAATGGATTCTTGACTCGGGATGTACCTTCCATATGACACCAAGACGGGACTGGTTCATAAATCTTCAGGAAACAGAAGGAGGAAGAGTACTTATGGGCAATAATGGCTCATGTGAAGTAAAAGGTATTGGCAGTATAAAGATAAGGTTTCATGATGGGATCATTAGAGTCCTAAGCCAGGTTAGATACATACCTGAACTTAAAAGAAACCTTATCTCCCTTGGATCATTAGACAGATTGGGAATGTCTTACAAATCTCAGGGCGGCAAACTGCAAGTGTTCAAAAACGACAGACAAGTCATGTGTGGAACACTAGAACATGGATTATATGTTTTGCAGGGTGAAACCTTAGAAGGAGAAAGCAATGTAACTGAAAGATCAGATGAAGCTATGCTCTGGCATAGAAGACTTGGACACATGAGCAATAAGGGGATGCAGTTAATGGTCCAGAAGGGTCTTCTTGACAATAATAAAATCAAGGAACTCCAGTTTTGCGAGGACTGTGTTCTGGGGAAAACGCACAAGCTAAGGTTCAACAAGGGAAAGCATGTCTCAAAGAATAATCTGGACTACATACATTCAGATCTGTGGGGTTCCTCAAATGTGAATCCAACCATGGGAAAGGCGCAATACTTCATTTCCTTCATTGATGACAGATCTAGGAAAGTTTGGATATACCTTCTGAAAACGAAAGATGAGGCATTTACAAAGTTCAAGGAATGGAAAACACTGGTTGAAAACCAAACCGAAAGGAAGGTAAAGCACCTAAGAACAGATAATGGTCTTGAGTTCTGTAATACTCTATTCGACCAATACTGTAAGGACCAAGGGATCAAGAGGCATAGAACATGCACCTACACTCCACAGCAAAATGGAGTAGCTGAGCGCATGAATCAGACTATCATGGGACGAGTCAGAAGCATGTTGAGTGACTCAGGTTTAGGGGAAGAGTTTTGGGGAGAAGCTGCATCTACAGCCGTTCATTTAATCAATCTCTCTCCCTCTAGTGCAATAGACATGCAAATACCAGAACAAGTCTGGTCTGACAGAACACCAAGTCTTGAAAACTTGAGGAGATTCGGGTGTCTAGCTTATGAGCATGTCAACCAAGGTAAACTGAAGCCGCGAGCAAGAAAAGGATACTTTGTAGGGTATCCATATGGGGTAAAAGGATACAGAATCTGGATTCCCACAGAACAGAAGGTTGTTATCAGTAGGGATGTGGTGTTCAAAGAAAATATGACATACAAGGACAGAGATACAGAAAAAGGGCATCAGGACAGAGGAATGCAAGATAAAGCTGACACATTAAGAGTTGGAATCCTCTCAAAACCAGAAGTAGAAGGGAATTTTAACTACAGGGAGGAGACTTCAAACTCAGGTGGAGCTCAATTAGACCTACAAAGGGAATCTGATCAAGAATCAGACTCAGAAAAGACTGACCAAGATGAGGATCAAAATGAAGAATCTGGGCAAGAAGAAGGAGTCCAAAATCAAACTGGACACCCCAGAGACTATAATCTGGTCAGAGATAGGGAAAGAAGAACCATAGTTGCACCTCAGAGATTCAGAGATGAAAGTAGTTCAGCTTTTGCTTTAGCAGCAGCATCTGAACTGGAACTGGATGAACCTAAGAATCTCCATGAAGCTTTACAAACTAAAGAAAAGGAGAAATGGCTCAAAGCCATGAAGGAAGAAATGTCATCACTGTATCAAAACCAAACCTGGAAACTTGTCCAAAGACCCAAAGATCACAGGATCATCGGAAGCAAATGGGTGTTCAAAAGAAAACCAGGTATTCCAGGGGTTGAAGAACCCAGATTCAAAGCAAGACTAGTGGCCAAAGGATACTCCCAAGTGGAAGGAATAGATTACAACGAGATATATTCTCCTGTGGTTAAGCATGTTTCCATAAGACTTCTACTATCTCTTGTGGCTGCTAAGAATCTGGAACTGGAACAACTAGACGTAAAGACAGCTTTTCTACATGGAGAATTAGATGAAGAAATCCTCATGGAACAACCTGATGGATTCAAGGAGAGAGGAAAGGAAGATCATGTGTGTCTTCTGCTGAGATCGCTCTATGGCTTAAAACAATCTCCAAGGCAATGGAATAGGAGATTCGACAGTTTCATGATCAAGCAGGGATTCACACGCAGTAAATATGATCTGTGTGTATACTTTCAGGAATATAAACAAGGAAGGTACATATATCTACTGATATACGTAGATGACATGTTGCTGGCATCTGAAAGCAAACAGGAGATACTCAAAGTTAAGGAAATGCTGGCAAAGGAGTTTGACATGAAAGATTTGGGAAAGGCAAAACGAATTCTTGGAATAGACATAGCTCGAGATAGATCAAGAGGAGTCCTAACACTATCTCAGAGCATGTATATGCATAAGGTAGTAAACAACTTCAGGATGGGGTGTTCAAAACCAGTTCACACGGCGATGGGATCACATTTTAAGCTGAGAGCCACTAGAGAAAATGATGAAGCACTAAATCTGGACACAACACCATATTTGAATGCTGTGGGAAGCATCATGTATGGTATGATAGGAACAAGACCTGATTTGGCTTACAGTGTGGGATTGGTAAGCAGGTTTATGTGTAAACCAAACAGAGAGCATTGGAATGCTGTAAAATGGATACTACGGTACATACATGGAAGCATGGATCTGAAGCTGCGATACGACAGGGAATCAGAATTCGAACTCATTGGTTATTGCGACTCAGACTATGCCTCAGATCTTGACAAAAGAAGATCAATTACCGGGTATGTATTCACACTCGGAGGAAATGTTATAAGTTGGAAATCTGGGTTGCAGCATGTAGTAGCATTGTCGACAACAGAGGCAGAATACATGGCTTTGGCGGAAGCATTTAAAGAGGCACTTTGGCTCAAAGGCCTGGCGCAAGAGCTCGGCATCAAACAAGGAGCTGTGAAAATCTTCTGCGATTCACAATCTGCCATTTGCTTAGCAAAGAACAGTGTGCATCATGAGAGGACGAAACACATTGACGTTAGGCTACATTTCCTGCGAGAAGTCGTTGCAGAAAACAGAGTTCAAGTGTTGAAGATTGCTTCAAAAGACAACCCAGCTGACATCCTAACGAAGACACTTCCCATTAGCAAGTTCAATGAAGCTTTGACCTTGCTAAAGGTCACTAACAGGTAATCTATGGTAAGAAACCCTGCCAAGGGGTATACAAAAGAGCTTGGGTAACATTCCACTGATAGGAGATTGAGGACGCTAGATCAGAAGCAATGTAGGCAAGGTGGAGTTTGTTGAGTTAGTACCTACATTACAAACTTCTATCTCGCGTTGAAAGGTTCGGATACAAAGAGAGGGTTCGGTGGGTAAATCTGTAATTCCTTTGGGAGAGTTTGTTATCCAGCTGTTAAGGACGTTGTAAGCTCTGGGTTTTATAACAGAGCATCGTCACTTTCAGTTGGGATGTGCGTATTCTTTCTTCTTCTTTCAGAAGGGTTTTTAGGGTTCTTTCTTTCGTGATTCTCTCTGGGTAGTATTGTAACCTCTCAATCAAGCATTAGTGGATTGCCAAGCTTCTTGGTCGAGACGTAGGATCCTACAACGATCCGAACTCGTTAATTGGTTGTGTTGTTGTTCTTTTCGGTTCTCAATCCGTCCAGATTCAATCAGCGATTGCATCTCAAGGTTGAAAGCTACAATATATTTGCTCACCTCCCATAATGAGGTTCGAACCACTATTGAATCTGTGTGACATTACAATATATATATATATATATATAATAAAAGTGAGTGTGCATTAAATTACATATCTCGAAACAAGAGAAGAAAAAAACAAGAATTATCCCGTAAAAGAAGAGACAAGAAAAGATGTCCGCATGCAAAATTAAGCCTACAGCTTGAGTTGCTTGAGGAAGCGAATGACGGCCCTCCCGACCAAAGCTTTAATGTCGCAATCATCATTAGCCGCCTTAGCCATTGTCACACGACCATCTGGAACTGGATCGAGATCTTTATCGCATCGATCACCATCTTCATCATCACGAGGCTGATGATCATCGTGTTCTTCTTGTTCTTCTTCATCATCATCGGCAAGCAAATGTGGAGGGACATGATCCACATCGGAATCTTGATCTTCCCATTCTTCGATGTCAAGGCCCCATTGACGATAATCAGCTCCCGCCATTGCTAACGCCTCCAGTGAAACCGCCATCAACACAACCTTCAAGTTCGGGAGAAACCTTTTGGATAACGACTAATATGCTCTTTCTACGATGTTTTAGTACGCGTGGATTGGGTTGTATATATAGGGGATGTACGGACGCACGGATTCTTGGGCTTTTTCTGAATTTATACGACCAAAAGGTCACGGGATCTGCATGGAAAATCAAACGTTGAATTGAATAATTTCGTGATATACTTTTGAACAGATTAAACAAATATGTAATGCATGCATGCGATCGATTCTTTTACAAACGTGACATTCTTGTGATTATATCGTACAATTTCAACATTTACGCGGCGAAGAATATAAAAATAAAAAGCTCTTCCTTCGTAGCCGTCTCTGTGATCTTTTGCTGATTCGAGCCATGACGTAATCGCAGACGAACTTTCCGTTGTAGCTTCCGAATCATTCATAAACCCATGTCAGTGTTTAGACAGAACAAAAAAAAAAACCTTTTATAAGAGCTATCGGAGACAACTATGGTTGTCGTCTGATGCTTTCGACGGATCAGAGGTGGAGGAGACGAGTCGTGACTCAGCGATTCCCGACTCAACGGATCTCTTGGATTCATAGAATCGGTAGAAGAAGGAGGAAATCGGCTGCTGCCATCGTCCTTCACGTCTGTGACAGAGATGGCGGAAAGGTTCAAAATCGAGTTCGAACTGCAGTTGAAAACGGTGTCGTTTTTGGGTTTCTGAAATGTCTAAAATTCGATATTTGCCCGCAGAATGGAACGCTTATTCACATCGACCCCAATATTTCTTTTTATCCAATTTCACCCAAAACGTTCTCTAATTGATTGAATGCAGAAGATTTGGAATTTTCCCAGGGAAAAAAAATATTCTGAATTTTTAAAAGACGACGAAAGCGGCAAAGCCCAGTAATAATCCATGTGTATAGATTCTTTGCACCTTTTTAAATTTTTGAGAACATAGAATATGTAATCTATATTTTATGCTTAAAGATAATTTCAAATGTAGAAAAAAAAACAGGGATTGGTCCGGTCAATCTGACACCTCAGCAGCACGTGACGTGGCGCCATATCCTTGGATAGAATAAGCAATATCCAGCATTAATTTTCTATAAATATATATAATTTGAATTAATATGTTCAAAGTATTCATTTGATGACATAGTGTCCACCGTCCTTGTCCTTGTATTGTATAACGAGAAATAAAATAATATATTATATTTAATAAATTTTCTTATATGAAAAAGTATTGCCATGTTCATGTGTATGTATTTAGACACTTATCACTTTCATTATGAAAAATGAGATTTTTTAATAATTGATTAATCTGATATACACATTAGGTCGGGATTCAAACGTAACATATAGATATGGTTTGTTTGTTTTAATTATGAAGCAATGGATATAGTTTTCTGCTGATAAAATGTACAATAATTTATAAAAACCTTATGTTAAACAAGAAAATGTTTTTTTTGTCATAAAAATACATGAAATTAACTAATTGGATAATGATGTCCTAAAGCCCATTTTTTTCAACAATTTTAGTTAATTTTTTATTTAATTATGTTGCTCAGAGAAAATCTCTCTCTCTCTCTCTCTCTCTCATCTTCGTTACATTTCTTTTCAAAGGGGAAAAAATAAGAACTTTTCTTTATTTCCGGTGCTCATCGACTTCGACACCATTGAAATCTTCAATTCTCCGAGCAAATCACGACCGATTGGAGCGACTAGTGACGCGGGGACACTCCCTGCATAGGAAATCTGGGCAGAATCGGACGACTTAGGATCGAACACGGTGTTGCGGAAGGTGGTGCTAGGGCTGATGGGCGCCGCGGGCTCCAAACTCGAGAAAGCTCTCGGCGACCAATTTCCCGAAGGAGAACGCTACTTCGGCTTCGAGAATTTCGGCAACACTTGCTACTGTAACAGCGTTTTGCAGGTCTCTCTCTCTCTCCCCATCTCGCGTTCGATGTATGCGATTCTTCTTCCCTTGTGATTTGCTGCTTGGTTTGTTCGAAATGATCGATTTTTCCCGTGGGAATTGAATTGGGTTTTGATTCATGGGGGAGATTCGTTTTGAAATCTTATCCGAATGTCTCTGCAATGTGATCCGTGGTTCCCGCGAAATCTTCATGTTGGCTTTGAGGCGCCCACAGAAATTTGTAGGCATGGTTCGCTGTTGGCTTCGTTGAATGGAATCTGGATATCATAGATTTTGGACGTTTAGATATGTTTCATTGTGATTCCAGCGGATTTGCATGATCATCTGGGAGAGTTGTATGCTTGGTTTGGTCTGCATAGTTAGCATTTTTGTTCACGCTGACTTTAGGCTTCATTGCCAAATCTTGAATTTGGGATCGCTGCCTTTTCAAGGAAACACAGTCTCCGAGTCTCGAAACCGAGTTTTTGTGATGTACATGTGAACAATCTCCATAGGTTAAATATCTGGGCAAGTTATTGCACATCTGTTTAGCGGTTTGTGTCGTGATTGGATTGACTCTATCATCATCACCATCCAATGTTCTCAACATGTTTCACTTGTTCCTTTGGTGCAGGCCCTCTATTTTTGCGTTCCCTTTCGCGAACAATTGCTTGAATACTATGCGAATAACAAAAGTGTTGCCGATGCTGAAGAGAATCTCTTGACCTGCTTGGCTGACTTATTTTCACAGGTGATGATTACACTTGAAGGCCATAACCTTCTGCTCTAGTTTGATTTCTCTCTCCATATAGCTCTTAAAGTTCTGCTCTAGACTAGTTTTATGTTTCTCTCTACAGTTCCTAGGTATCTTCTGTAGTAAGAGCAAGAAAGGATGAGAGATTATGTTTCTCGAAATCTCTGCTGTTTCCTGTTTGTTAAAGAATCGTGGTATTATGAGCACAACATTTCAAATGTATAAGCATTTGTATTGACTTAATGGCGCGTTTGATTATTTCATTATACATCTCGTTGCTTGCTCAGATTCTCGGTTAGATTGCTATTTTGGTGGAAATTTGGATTAGTTGCTTGGCGATCATTTTTTGTTGCTCCTTCTTTTTTTTCATAGATAAGTTCCCAGAAGAAGAAAACAGGCGTTATTGCTCCAAAGCGCTTCGTACAGAGGCTGAAGAAACAAAACGAGCTGTTCCGGAGTTATATGCACCAGGTGGGTGCTTGCTTTTTCTTCTTGCATCTGATGAAATGATCTTTTCCAAGGGAAGTTTAACGCAGAACTCTGTGCAAACAACGTAAATTTTTTGTTTGATTAAAAAAGTGTTGCTGCTGTTTTGATTGAAGGACGCACACGAGTTCTTGAATTATTTGCTCAATGAGCTTGTTGACATATTGGAGAAAGAAACACAATCTGCAAAGAACGGTAAGGAGGAAACCTCGTCTTCGTCTCCTGAAAAGTTTGCGAATGGACCAAAAGCTCCACAGGCAAATGGTGGACAGAAGGAACCTATTGTTTCTTGGGTTCACAAGATTTTTCAGGTCAGTTCAGTTTTATGATTCACCTTTACTTCTTAAGAACCTTACCTTCCTTCATCATCGTAGACGGAGAAAAGCATCGATAACGTTTATTCTTAGGGAAATATATGTCAATTAAGGTTTTTACATGGGATGAAACCGAACGCGTTTGGAAATATCCGTGATATAGATTGCCATGAAGATGGATTAGAGAGCTTTTATGGAAAGAGAGGAATGGAAAACAAAAAAGGGTTCAGACATAGATTATTAGAAACCTTATACCGAAGTGTTTGGAAACTGAAACAGGGCATTCTTACCAACGAGACAAGGTGTTTACGGTGTGAGACAGTGACAGCAAGGGACGAGACTTTCCTTGACTTGAGCCTTGATATCGAACAGAACAGTTCCATAACTAGCTGTCTGAAAAACTTCAGCTCCACCGAGACTCTTCATGCCGATGACAAATTCTTCTGTGACAAGTGCTGCAGGTACAATGCTCGTTTATGAGTAATAAATCCCATGTCTGCTTCTTTTCCAATGCTCATAGTCCTTTTGGACCGTCTTTTTCGCAATTTGGATCATTTTACAATACGTGAAAAGGGTTTAAACCATTACCTGATCTGCAGTTTACAGGAAGCACAGAAGAGGATGAAGATCAAGAAGCCACCAAACATCTTAGTCATCCATCTGAAACGATTCAAATACATCGAACAGCTCGGCCGCTACAAGAAGCTTTCGTATCGGGTAGTCTTCCCTCTTGAACTGAAACTCAGCAACACGGTGGAAGAGTATGCAGACATTGAGTACTCGCTCTTTGCTGTGGTGGTCCATGTCGGCAGCGGACCGACCCCCGGCCACTACGTCAGCCTCGTGAAAAGCCACAACCACTGGCTGTTCTTTGACGACGAGAACGTCGAGATGATCGAGGAATCCGCCGTCCAGACGTTCTTCGGGTCCTCGCAGGAGTACTCGAGCAACACCGATCACGGGTACATCTTGTTCTACGAGAGCCTCGGACCAAAGTAAGTTAAAAAACATGAGCTGAGTAAGAATCTTTCCACCCTTTTATCATATGTCTCGCTCCAAATCTCTGCGGAGTTGAAAATGTATCTCTTTTATCATATTTTTTTTCTCTCTTTTTCAAGAAAAAAGAAAAAGGTTGTTCACTTTGGAAGCCATGTACAGTGGAATGGTCGGAACTCCTTTGACCCTGGTCTTTTTTTTCCCGCAATAAGAAACGAAGGAAGCGAGCTTATTTATATTTTATAATTCATTGGTTTTGATTTCTAATTGTTTCCTTTGATTATAATGGACCGTACCTGAATTTTGATTATCCTATGTCTTGTTATGAAGTATACGCTCATGCATCAGAGCCCAAAGCCCATTATTCATACTTGACAAATGGGCCTATTTGTTCTATGTGTTGGGCCCAAACAAGTCAAACTTGGGCTTTGTAATTTTAACCCCACGATATTCTGTGGCCAGGTCTTTTTTTTTTTTTGTCAAAGGGGCCAGGTCTTTTTTTTCTTCATATATTCTTTTTTTTTTGTTATTCATATATTCTTTTTTCACGGCAAATAGTTTTAATTAGTTTCTATAATAGAATCATGGGTTTCGATTTGTAATTGTGAAACAGCATTTTATTTTGTAATGCGTTTCAACCTAAACAAAGTATGCACATGAAGCTGATCATCTCTTAAAGACGTTAAAAACATTTGATGTGTAACGTTTAATTTCATTAATTGACTAGATATTATTTTCGACAAGATTATTACTGATATTAACGAGAAAATATAGAGATACTGATATAAATATTATATATCTGATAATGTTTTGATACTAGTCTAGGATATTTAAATGCAAAGTCTCAATCGATTAGTTGTGAACCCACGATGAAATCAAGTTTCCTATATAAAACTGGGAAAAGATTCCTGGGACCCACAAGACAGTTCACGGGCCGATGCCAACGTGTCATTAGCACATCACCATGTGTTACCACTTACCAATCCCCTCCTAAGTCCTAAGGGCAGCTTCACCAGGTGGGTCCTGCTCCATGGAGTAGCAACAGCAACGCAGCATGATATCGCCACGTGTATGGACCCAGATGCCGACGTGTCACTGACGTGCGAGACCCACACGTGTGGCCCACTGGCCTCCCGAGTCGCTCGACCTCGGCCCGACGGACAACGCCCCACCTCTTGCATGACCATGATTTCACTCTGCGGTCGCATGCACGGGCCGATGGGTTAACATCCACTCATATCCCGCCACGTGTCGTCCCTTTCGTTAATTCCGTCTACATAGACGCTCCGTCGCTAATTTTGGTGTATACCCTCGAGGGTCAAAACCAAGCAGAGAAAACATAACGACTCAGATTTCGAGAGAGAGAGAGAATGTTCATCGAGAGCTTCAAGGTCGAGAGCCCGAACGTGAAGTACACGGAGAATGAGATTCACTCCGTGTATGATTACGAGACGACGGAGCTCGTCCATGAGAAGATTAACGGTGCTTACCAGTGGATTGTGAAGCCAAAGACTCTCAAATACGAATTCAAAACCGATATCCATGTCCCAAAACTAGGGTATATCTGACATTTTCGTTTCAAAGTTCCAATCTTTCCCCAGTTTTCGTGATTTGCCCGAGGCGTATTCATCTGGGTCGGTTTTAGATTTCGAGACTATTCGCACTTCCGTGGTTTAATTTCGTTGTTGGCGATTCGATTTTGAAAGGGTTATGCTTGTGGGTTGGGGAGGAAACAACGGCTCCACCCTTACCGCCGGTGTGATTGCCAACCGTGAGTGAGTATCCTGTTAATCACGGTCCTTAATCTGGATTAACTGTTCATCATTAAGGTGGTGTTGTTTACATTTGTTTGAAACTAAATTTTAAAAATTTGCAGAGGAATTTCGTGGGCGACCAAGGACAAAGTGCAGCAGGCGAATTACTTTGGGTCACTCACCCAAGCATCCTCAATTCGTGTCGGGTCGTATAAAGGAGAAGAGATCTATGCCCCTTTCAAGAGCCTTCTTCCAATGGTACGTACTCAGAGAGCATCATCATCATCACCATATTCCACTGTTTCACACCTTCATTAGCACAGTTATGGATATGGATTGTCTCTTAATTCCTAAGTTAGTGAACAGTGCTCAAGTTTTTCTTTTTGTTACAATGAAGTGATCGTTTGAACGAACACGTGGTCTGTAATTGATGTGGAAAAGGTGAACCCGGACGATGTTGTGTTCGGTGGATGGGACATCAGCGACATGAACTTGGCAGACGCCATGGCAAGGGCCAAGGTTCTTGACATCGATCTGCAGAAGCAACTCAGGCCTTACATGGAGAACATGGTCCCACTCCCAGGGATCTTCGATCCCGATTTCATTGCTGCCAATCAAGGCTCACGTGCCAACAATGTCATCAATGGCTCCAAGAAGGAACAAATCGATCAGATCACCAAAGACATCAGGTACTCACCTATGAAGTTAAAAGTTGCGTTCTTGATGTTTTCAGACAAGGCTTTTTTCTTGCTGGGTTCAGTTTCTTGATGCTGTGTAATGTGATGAACAGGGAGTTCAAGGAGAAGAACAAGGTTGACAAAGTTGTGGTCCTCTGGACAGCAAACACGGAGCGTTACAGCAATGTGATCACTGGGTTTAACGATACAACGGAAAACCTCTTGGCTTCTGTGGACAAGAACGAGACTGAGATCTCGCCTTCTACGCTATACGCCATTGCATGTGTTTCCGAAGGTGTTCCTTTCATCAACGGAAGCCCCCAGAACACCTTTGTTCCAGGTCCTTATCCAAAACCCCTTTTATCGCAGCAAGTGTTATAGACATCGAAGTTCTCTCTTTGGTTCTGTGCTCACTTGTTTGTTTCATCTGTGTTTGCTTGTGTTGTATAGGTCTTATCGATATGGCTATCAGGAAGAACAGCTTGATTGGTGGGGATGACTTCAAGAGTGGACAGACCAAGATGAAATCTGTCTTGGTCGATTTCCTCGTTGGTGCTGGAATCAAGGTAAATAGCTTCTAAATCCACTAGTACTACTCAAGATCCTCGTATATATACATATATATACACAGTCGTATACTGTAAAAGATCCATTGATGCTTTTATATATATGTAGCCTACATCGATTGTGAGCTACAACCATCTGGGGAACAACGACGGGATGAACCTCTCAGCTCCACAGACGTTCCGATCCAAGGAGATCTCGAAGAGCAATGTCGTGGATGACATGGTTGCCAGTAATGGCATCCTCTACGAGCCCGGTGAACATCCCGACCACGTAGTTGTCATCAAGGTATATATACATATAAATTACCAGTGTGATGGCCATTGACTGCTATGTCTGTAAATAACCATGGACGATTATGCATGGGGAAAAGTATGTGCCGTACGTAGCAGATAGCAAGAGGGCGATGGATGAGTACACGTCGGAGATATTCATGGGCGGACAGAGCACGATAGTAATGCACAACACTTGCGAGGACTCTCTCTTGGCTGCTCCCATTATATTGGATCTTGTTCTTCTCGCTGAGCTCAGCACCAGGATCCGCCTCAAATCCCAATCAGAGGTTCGTCTTCGAGTAAATTCACCATTCCTCCTCTGTAAACAGCTTAACCCTTTTGCGGGTTTTGGTCTTTCGCAGGGAAAGTTCCATTCTTTCCATCCAGTGGCCACCATCCTCAGCTACCTCAGCAAGGCACCACTCGTAAGTCACTCAACGCATCCCCCACCCTCCATTCTTTTGTATAAATCCCTGATTGTAGATTAAGATGGTTGCCTTTATAATGTCGTGGTTCAAGTACATAAACAGAGCGTGAAAATGGAACAGGTGCCACCAGGGACACCGGTGGTGAACGCGTTGTCGAAGCAGAGAGCGATGCTTGAGAATATAATGAGGGCTTGTGTCGGGCTCTCGCCTGAAAACAACATGATCTTAGAATACAAGTGAAAACACCGACCAACCATGATCTCATGTCCATGAAGAACACAGCCTCTACTGATTCAAGTGTTCTGTCAATTTTTTTTTTATTTAAAAAAACTCTATAATTTACATAACTGAGTTCGTGATTGAAGAAATGCTTACGCGAAATTGTGTTGTAAGGAATATGCGGTCTCTTGCTCTTCTCTTTTTTTTGCGATTTTTTATAAACTTTGTCATTTATGTAAAATAATGTTATTAGTGTGATTTTTGTATCCAAATATAATTACAATTATCGACTGTATGTTTCTGTATTTAGTGTAATTTGCCTAATACGAGGCACTCAATTACGATTTTAACCTTATCATTCTTGTATCCAATTGTTGTAGATTTTTCAATGGTTTCATTATTGACCCTAAAGTTATAAAATAATCATACAATTGTGTTTTTGAAAGTTAACACGGCATAAAAAAAAAAATTCCGTTGTATATGCAGACTGATGTTAACTTGACATATATTATAATGTTTCAGGGGGCATTCGGCTGAATAAACAAGCAGGATATGGACGATATCTTGATGTAACAAAATTAAATGATAATTTAGATCCCACGGTCATCAATGATGTCAATGAGTACATTTACTTTCTTTTTTTAATTATATCGTGAATTATTTATTTAATTGAGGTGATTGATAATTGTTTTTTGGTAATTAATTACTCGTAATTAGGAGGACCACCTAACCCTTGGGCAAAGCATAGGTATGTGATGACACCCGAAACTCCAACAACTAAGCCTCGAAGTTTGGAAATTTTAATACTACCGAACCAGACAATTAAATGTTAATAACAATTAGGGTGGAATAGCTAATAAGCTTGACTCTAATCACAAGCCTAAGTATTTGTTTACACGTTTATTTAAAAAATATTCTATAAACTTGTATTCTTCCATTATTGGCCACATAGTGGGGCCAATATTGTAAAAAAAAAAATGTGTATAAGAAGTCTAATCAAAATTTTCAAGCTCTTGTTCAAGGCTTCACTATTCTTTTCACACACACACACAGTCATATATATATATATATATATGTGTACATATACCAACAAGCTTATTAGCACTATGGAATCTCTATCTGAATAATGTTTTTATACAAAATTAGATGCAGATTGATGACTTTTTTTTAAAATTAGGATTGAAAAGTTTTAAATGCACAAAATCCTAATCATTTGGTCAAAAAAAAATTGGGATGATTTTAAAAAGACAGTTCTTGATAAAATTGTGATTAAATATATTTTTTCTATTTAAATTATATAGTTGATATGACACGGTGATTTCTATGTGCTACATAGTCTTGATTTGAGTGCGGTTGCCTTGGTTGAGATGAACTAAAAAATCATAATTGTAAAATGATTTTCGAAAATTAAGTTTAATTCTGATAATTACTCTATGCATAATGCATGCATATATATATATACACACACACACAATGATCAAAGTAGGAATGTGATGGATGGTCCCATGAAAGGAGATGGATGCCATGATATTGAAAACACAATAAATACATATAAGTCTTTCTTTCGATTTCATTTGGATTCTTATAACAATTTTCCCTCTAGATTCCCAGCAATATTTGTCCAAATCCCCACATAATAATTAATCCACCATACTATAAAAAAAACACAGACACGCACATATATGTACATTAGGACAATATATGACAACGATATATAATGGTTAGTACAATAATTCTTTGTTCCTTTCCAAATTTGTAATTGACATTGGACAAATGATAGCTATATTAGGGCGTTGATTTCCGTAAATCTAAAACATTGTTTCAGATGAGTGGTATTATAAGAAACTTTTTTAATAATAAAAAATTTTATAATATAGAGATTTTAGACAAATATAAATTACAAGATTTTCCATCCTTCAAATAGTTAAAAGTTAAATTATATAATACTATATTTTAAACAAAAAATAATAAAATAAGAATCATCATGATGGGAAGTGATGAGAATTGGCGAACTTCGAGAGTGACATAGCTTCGCATTAAATCACTGCACAGCTCATTATATGTCACTAATAAAATGTTTATTATATGAGCAACCAATGGTTTGAGACGTCACGAGATTATGACATCCACTCCCCTCCCCATCCTTTTTTATAATCCTCTTTCAATAAATTTCGTCAAAACAACATATTATTTAATTTATTATATCAAAAATTCCTATCAATTGAGGTGTGGTAATTCGAATGTGACTGTATATTAATTGGTTCCATTGATTCAATTTTTTACGTCATTCAATATAAATACCCATGCCTATTTTAAAAACTAATATGCATATTTGACGGGGGATATGCTTTTGCGTATCTTATTTATTTTGCTTGGATAACGAGATGAAGACTTTAGATGTGGTTCGTTAATTGTGAAAAATAACTGTAGATTTATAAATAACATTATTATTATTACATTGAAATGATTTTTCTAATTAACGAATACTAACACTAAATTACAAAATGACCCAACCTAGATAGTTTAACCGGTGAAATAAGGACGTAAAACGTCTGTTCTATCCCAAATTTAAACCCCAAGACGGGAAAGAGATATTCACATGGCTTTCCTCCGATCCCGAAACTAGTTTGGATCTCGACTCAAAATACCAAATTGCTAAAAAAAACCAACTAAATTACAAATGGTGGGCTTACTTCACCATTCATACTTGTAGTGCTTCGGAATCGGACCGTCAGATTAAGAATGACGTCTGATTAAGTATCAATTATTGTGTGCTTTTACTCTTGCTTCGTCATAAAATAATATTGAAATACGGCGCAAAATATTTTTCTCATTTCGATTTCGAATTTTAAATTGAGAGAATATTCACATGGTTTCTTCTTGATCCTATGATTATGATTAGTTTGAGTCTCTACACATCATACCCGCTTACAAAAAAAAAAAGTAAGTCGGTCGAAAAAAAATTAATTTAAGTCAGTCGAATTTCATGTTAATATTAACGTGAAATCAAACCCTAAAACCAAACTCCGGACAAACATATATATTATATGAATGTCATGAGTCCGCGGTGATGAAATTTTGATTACTTTTTTTCATCATCTAAAAGATAATTTCACAGGATTTTTTTTTTGTTTTTTTAAATGGAAATTGGGAAATTAATATTTACATGATAAAACTGACCACAACAACGGAAACAATCTCGAAGTTAATCACAGAGACAGAGGGAGAGAGAGAGAGTTCTTGTTGTGTTTTTTGGACATCCCTAGTTCGATGGAGGAGATGATACGACGCCGTTTGCTTCGTCGTGCTCCATCTGCTGCTCCCTACACTCTTCGCTACAAAACGCCGTGTCCCCTCTATTCACATCAATTACCATCACAGATTAGACACACACACACACACACACATATATATATATATATATATATATGCATACATACATACATACCTCTGGTTTTGCATAATAAAGTTGTGGACTACATATATATACACAACAAACTACTGTATATATATGTTTTTTTTTTTGTCATGGCTCATGGCATGTGGAAGTAAATAACAGAAGTAAAAACGTACTTGTACATGTAGATATCACGACCAGGAGCCAAACGCCGTTTGCAAAGACCGCAGATTCTGAGGAAATGCGAAGTCTCCAGAGAATAACGACAATCCCCGCAGTTTTTTCTTCCGACGTCGTTTCTCGGCGACATCATCAACCGCTGTTCGTAACCGCCAGCGACGGCGGCTGTCCCC